TCAGGGTCGCGTGTGCTTCTTTTTTTTGGTTGGAGTTTCCACGAGGGTGTTAGAGGCTTGTTGTAGATTGTAGGTTGTTTATAGGGATTCTACAAGGGTCCTATAAGTTCTTTGTTACACACATGGAAGCCGTGATTCCATAAGGGACAAGAAGAGGTTTAGATTTAGCCTCAGGACTGGTATGACGTTTGTGCTATCTAATAACGTGTCACGTGTCATGTCTATGCATCAACTCGCCGTGCGTGTTCTGGTAAGAGTCGTTGAAGCTTGCGGCGTCAGGGGTGACCGCAGGGTTTTTTGCAGGTTTTTCCAAGTTTTAAGCTTTACTGGCCTTTTGACGTGAAGACGATTTCCAGGCAGAAGATACAGCTTACCTTTGAGCACTTGCAGGTTCATGGGTACATAAGTGGCTTACACAATATGAGTTGTTATTACCACTTATAGCTTCACTCAGAACTACCCGAGCAAGCCTTGAACCCTACACCAAATTAGTATTAGTATTAGTATTAATATTAGTATTAGTATAAGTATTTAGTATAAGTAGTCGTACTAGCATTAGTATTGGTATTGGTATTAGTATTAGTATTAATATCATTATTATTATTATTATTATTACTATTATTATTATTATTATTATTAGTATGGGGCTTTGGGACCGAGACAGCAGCGCTCGAGCTTCTCTTCTCAGCAACCCCCACCCAAGGTGTCAGCGGAGCCGATGCCTCTGAGCTGAACTGCGGCTTAGTGAACTTTCGATGCCATGACAGGCCTGCGTAGAACACTAGGGCATGATATGACTGATATTGGTGTTCGTTGCCGTGAGTTTGGGGAGACCAAAAAGCTCTCGACCCGTAGACGCTCTTTAACAAAGTCCTGTAAGAATAAAAGGTCTGAGATTTTCTGTGTCAGGGCGAGTTTTGGTAATTGATCTTGAACGCGAGGAGCAATAAAAGTCTCGTATGTGCCCCAAGCGAAGGATTTCTTCGCCAGCAGCAGACAGACAAGTGATAAGCAGAGATGCTCTGTTGCTGCCCTGGTTGCTTAGGTCAGATATTTGGATCCCACTATCGCAGGAAAATCAAAAGCTCCCGCAGGCAGCAAGCTCAAGCCAGTCATCAATCCTAAAACCTGCTAGAGCCCTTTTGAAATTTCGTAGAGCCTCGAGTACTTGCAAAAACCAGTATGGAGGCCCCTATGAAACACAAAAACAACGGAAAGCACTTATTTTTCCCTTTTGGAGATCCTTATCGGAACCCTTAAAAAATCCGGAAAGTGCTGGCACCTTGCAATTGCTCCTTGCGGTTTCTCGTGAAGCCCGGGATGCCCCAAGCTTTTCCGCTGGCGTGGTGCCAGCTATCGCGCAAAAAAAAGGTGCTGCTACATTCGGGCTCCTTTATGGGGTGTGTGTAAGGGTCTCACATGCTTTGGAGTGAACTTTTCCGAACAAACGGTCCCCCAGTAGGAAAACATAGCCAATATAGGAGCCTTCATAATTAGAGTAGGGTTTTGGGGGGGTCTATGATACTATAACTATAATAAGGAACCCCTAAAACTCCATTCTAATTATGGGTATATGATACTATAACTATAATAAGGAACCCGTAAAACCCCATTCTAATTATTACGGCCCCTGCATTGCGTGCGACCCTCCAGGAGACATTGCTTGAAGGTTCATGGGCAGCTACACGGGAGTTTCCGAAAAAATGAGGGGTACCTCAGTTTGGGGTCCTTATGATGAGGATCCTACTATCAGTTACTATCAGGGTACTACATTAGGGTCCCCGATCTTCGGAAACTCCCATATGGGTGGTTGTCAAAATTAGGGACCATAGTTTTGACAACCACCCATATTAGGGGATTTGTAACTCCACTTAAAGCTACCCATGAACCTCCAAGCAGACTGAGAGACCGAATCCTACACCCAGATCATCATCTACATGCATTGCATTCTGATACTTCCGAAGATTCAGCATTCAGGAACCCAAACCCCAAACTCGAAACCCCAAATCTCAAACCCCCAAACTCTAAACCCTAAATCTTAAATCCGAAACAACCCGAAACCCCAAACCCCCAAACTCTAAACCCTAAATCTTAAATCCGAAACCCCATCCTCCCTGCGCCCTAAGGAGCTCAAAAAAAAAGCCCCTAAAGCCTAGACATGTGTGTTTAGCCTTGCCTGCGTAGTGCGAGAGTGAGCGACGAAAGCTTAAGCTCCAGGAGTTTTAGGTTTTACGGTTGAGGGATTGTTCTGTATAGGGTGTTTAGAATTTGGGTTTAGGGGTTTTGAGACAGCTGTCCTGGCGTGACGTTGCAAGCCAGTTGCAAAAAAGGGTTTTCGGCTAAGGTTTAGGGGTTTAGGGGTTAAGGGTTCTGGGCTAAGGTTTAAGGGTTTAGGGTTTAGGGTTTTGGGCTAGGTTCGGTTCCCATCCAACGTTGACACGAAAGCCGCATTTGCCTTCAAAGCTTCGCTTCAAGTCCGACCGCCGAATTCCTTCCTGCCCGTGACTGCAAGTCAGACTTGAAACCTTGAGCCCCATCCCTGAGCCCTAAACCCTAACCCCTAAGCCCTAAGCCCTAAACCCCAAACTAAACCCTAAACTGCCTTGTGCGAGTGGAGTCGAAACCCCTAAACCCCTAAGCCTCAAGGCTTATCCCTTGAGGCCTGGCCTTGGAAGCCCGGCGAGTTCCTCAGTTTGCAGGGTTACTTGGGGGCTTCGTGGCTAGTTCTAAGTATTCGGAGGGTCGGGGGCCTAAAAGGGACCCTAATTTGGGTTATGGTACTTATAAGTCTCTAAAATAACCAGTTACTAAGTCTTCCGACCCTCCAAGTACTTGGGAGCTTCGTGGCTAGTTCTAAGTAGGGTTATGAATCAAAATTCCCACGTCTAACTAGCCATGAACCTCCAAGTAGGGTTTAGGGCTGGAGCCGAGTTTTGCCAGGGTTTCGAATAGAGTTTTATGCAGAGTTTGCTTGATAGGGTGTTCTTCTGGTTTCAATGTGGGCCCCTGATTAGTAGTCCCCTTTTGTTGCTCATCAGATAGTGGTTGTAAAACTTATCAGGCAACCGCATCAACGGCCGGCAACATGAGTCTGAGTTTGGGAGTTTACGGGCGTAGGGGTTGTGGGTTTAGGGTTTGTTGGTGGGAGCTTCCGGAAAGGGTTTGCAGCTGCTCTGGATGATGGGCCACGGGTATATCAGAGGGTTCAGGGTTCAGGGTTTAGGGGTTTAGGGGTAGCCGTGTGGCACGAGTCCACAGCACAGTCGGCGCCTCGGTTCCTGGCATATGCGTAGTCCAGGTGTAAAAGGGGTTCAGGGTTTAGGGTGTAATAGCGTGACGTTGCAAGCCAGTTGCAAAAGGGTTTAGGGTGACAAAAGTTCTGGAAATAGTTAGTGAACAGTCAGTGCCACACAAAAAGGCGCCGATAATTACTCGTATCATGATGATTAGAACGACACCGCTTTTCGGGCACGATGGTTTCACGTTCATGCTACTACACGATGCCATGTTTAGAAGGAACCTTGGTCTGGCTACGGTGGGTTCGATAGAAGCTTCACATTTTCGGGCTCCTCAAAGGGATCTATAAGGGTTCTATCAGGGAATTAAGGAATATACCTTTTCCACACCTGACATAAGAGAGATCCTCGAGCAGCCGGAGCCCTATCTAAGAGTGCCGGTGCGGTTTAAGGTTTCGGGTTTAGCTTGGGTACGACCCCCACTCAGTAATAGCTGAATAATAGTAGTCGCCCTATTATAGACTCTTACTGTATGGGGGCAGTACCTAAGGTTTAGGGTTTGTTGGCTCCGCAAACACGGGTGTGGCCGGCTATTGGAGGCACTTCACAAAGACCTCGTTCAAAAAAAGGTTTGTTGGCTACCACGACGCCAAACCTGGTTTGATTTCAGAAGCTTGATCCGAATTATCAGCAATACTCGCCGCCTAAGGTTCCTCATTATGATTGCAGTGGCAGTATGATACACCACAAAGCCCCAAGAAGCCTAAACCCGAATCACTAGAATGGGTTCTTGGGGCACAGTCTGAAGTTTAGTTTCGGGTCAGGGCTATATGGGACTTTCCGACAAAATACGGGACCCCAATATAGCAGCCGAAATAGTAGGATCCTTATTATAGGAACCCCAAAACATGGTACCCCTAATTTCCGGAAACTCCCATATTGTTTTTTTGGGACAGGGTCTTGAGGCCCGGTGGGAGGTTTCGGGCTTTGGTGTTTAGAGTCTTGGGGCACGTTGAGGGTTTAAGGGTTTAGGGGTTTAGGATTTAGGGGTTTAGGGTTTAAGGTTTAGGGCTTTAGGGTTTGGGGAATTACAGCGTAAGTATGTGGGGAGGGGACAACTACGAGGAGAGATTCTGCCCCAACGCGCCCAAGAGTCGAAGCTCGGTGGCTTCGAGCTCCTGTTAAGGTCACAGAGCGTCGAGAAGTTAGTTTCTGATTCTGATGTCATTGTCTTTGCTTGGAGTTGTTGAAACTTATTTTTGTACTCTAATGCTTCCTTTTTCAGTGTATTTTCTCTTCTACTCTTCTGCTTATTCTCCTGTAAACTTTGTGTGTTGTTTGAGGACAGAGAGGTATCACAACCCAAAACCACGAACCATCTAACGCACCCCAAGCACTCAACCCTATGTCCTATACCTAAAATCGAGGATGCAGAAGATCGGCTTGGGTCTAATAGCAGCGAGCAGCTACCCACTGGCCCATGGAAGAATCCGGCCGCCTCAGCAATTTCGTAAACGAGCATGTGGTTCCTCCGAACCTTAAACTCACCCAAACCTCGAGCCAGCCTCGCGCCCAATCTTCCACCCCAAAGCTCACATGAGCCCACAACCAGCCGGCAAGCCCAAGCCTAGGAAGCAAGAGCCACAAGCCCATCCACCGTCTCAAACCTCTCAGCCCAAATCTGACGGCTTGTTCTCTCTTCCCCAGCATCACCTCCCAGACAGCCTTACATAGAAAAAACCCCAAAGCAGCGTCGATACGCCCATGGCCATCATCGGCCCGGCACCGCTTCTCCGCCACGATGAGAGGGGTTGCCGGAGCCCTGAAACCTTCTGACTTGGGGTTTCAGCCTGGTTCCATTGGAGGTCGCTGCTATAGGGACCTTAATAATTACCTAGACTATTTTGGGGTTCCTTTTTATATTAAATTAAAGCAGTACTGGGGCTAGTAGTAGCAGCCAGACCAGCAGCAGTGGCAGCAAAAGTCGGGGTAGCAGCCGCACCAGTGGCAGAAGCAGCCGGAGCGGAAGAAGCGGAACCAGAAGCAGCAGGAGCAGTTGAGGTAGCAGGGGCAGTGGCAGTTGTAGTAGCTGTCAATGATGTCACATTTATCTCCATCGTCGTCGTATTCGTCGCCGTCTCGAAAAATTTTCATTCTGTTGATGATATAAACCCCGCATTACCCTCAGGACCCTAAACTATGGGAATTATGGTATATTTCTTATTACGGGTAATGCAGGATTTATATCATCAACCCTTTTGGCCCATTGGAAGGATTATTGCCAGAGACTCCAGTATCCCTTAATTAAGGAATATGCCCTTTTTATAGTAGGATCCCGAATATGATTTCAGGAATATTCCTTAATTAAGGGATATTGGAGTCCCCTAAACCCTAAACCCCATAGATCCCTTCTAGACCCCTTAAGGAACCCTACATATTCCTTAATTAAGGGATATTGGAGTCTCTGGGTTCTTAGTACAGTAGAAGCCCAAAAGTTGGAAACCCCATAGCCTCAACCCTTAAGACTAATGTATAGGGAATCCCAGCACTATTTGGCCTTTATCCGGTTTCCAACTTTATGGGGTTTAAAACCCTAAAGCCCCTATAGATCCCTTAAAGGAAGCCCTTAAAGGTACCCTTAATAGATCCCTTTAAAGGAACCCTAGGATTTAGATCATTAGTAAGCCCGGGCAGGCCTGCCAGGGGACTCTGGGATTTCCTGCAAACGGGCTTGGAGGATGTTGGGGGTTCCTTTAAGTGTTCCTTAAAGGGGGGTATTGTAGGGGATCTATACACTGTTTTCGGGTGTTCCTTTCCTCCGCATTCCGAGATCTGTACGCAGTTTGGGGTTAGGGTTTATCATCTGTCCCGGAAGCTAATCTTTGCACCTCAGTCTCAATCCTTGCTTGGCGCCAAAGCTCGGAGAGCAAGCCTAACCCCAAAACCTAACCCCTCAACCTTAAACTTTACCTACTTGTAGCAGCAGTTGGAAAAGGGCCGCCAAAAAAGCAAAACAGCCTTAAACGAAGCAGCGAGGTCTGGAACTGCAGGAAGAAGGCTTGACGGTGCTACGGCGAGCGCTTCGGAAGCATTTGTGGCCCTTCATTTCTGTCTGCCGGCGAAGAAGCTTATGTACATCATTTGCCCCGAAACTTTGATTTCGAGGTTTGAGTCTAGCTCAACTCAAGCAGCTCAAAACTTTTCAAAGCTTTAACCCTCCGCTGTCCCCGGTTTTGGGTACAAGTAGTATTGAAAAGGCGTCTGCACAATCTAAACCTATATAGACCCAATACCCGAAACCCTCCGCAAGACCATTGTATCAAGCTTCTTTATGTAGTCCTTATTCCTGTTCATGTTGTGGGATGTCTTGAAAGACCCCTGAATGACCCTTGTAAAGGTGGGCTCGCCCTTGCACGTGGCCTTCGCAATTGGGGGCTCGCGCTGCGGGAAAAGCACGGCTTGTGGCCGGCCAATAATGTTAGACTTCTCGCAATGGACCCAGAGACTCCCTATCATAATTTAAGGAATATTCCTGAATTAAGGGGTATTGGAGTCTCTGGGGAGGGCTGGGAGTGTCGTGAATAGCTGTAGGTTTTGCTGAGGCCTTCAGGCGATTGCAGAAATCCCGATGCAAAGCAGCAGGGATATCTGAGACTTGTGTGCTAGCTTGTGCAGATATTGGAGTCTCAGAGTTTGGGGTTCGCCTAGGTTTTAGCACACCCTGCAGCCGCACAGCCCTAAAGTCAAAACCATAATCTTAAAGCCAGCAGGTTTCCCTTCAGCCTGTGCCTAGGCTCCCAGTGTTTTTTCGAAACATGAGCCTTCATGTGCAACTCGAATCCCCGACGAATGGGAACCTATTTCCAAGGACCCTGTATACGGAAATCACAAGAGGGACCCCCTTTTAGGGGTTTAGGGCTTAGGCTTTGGACTCAACCAACCTCAGAAAGCCTGAACTCAAAAACTTGAAATTTGTTTTGAGCTGGAGCTCACTGCAGCGGTTGCTCGATCTCTGAGAATCCCGAGATCGAAGTTCTAAGGTCCCTCATTCAGGTACTATAGAAGCCGAACTAATTCGTGCTATTGTTCCGTTCCTCCCTTATAGTCCCGATGTAGTATTATGTAGTAAATTAAACGCGAGGAGAGGATATTGGGGTAGAGTATAGTATATTTATGATAAGGAGCCATACAGAATAACGTGAGCACCTCCCCAGGCTTCTACATTGGGGATTCTTGGGGTCAAAAGCCGCAGGGATAGTCATCAGCTTGCCACTTCCGGGCCGTACTCGTCCCTGGCCATGAAGTTCTGAAGCCTCCAAAGCCGAACCAGAAACACCTTGACGGCTTAACTCACCCAGGTGTCGCACTAAACATAGCACCCAAACCGCTCAATCCTCACCTAGACCCTAAACCCTAAACCCGAAACCCGAAACCCTAAACCTTAAACCCCTAAACCCTAAGCCCTAAACCCCTAAACCCTAACCTAAACCCTAAGCCCCTAAACCCTAAACCCTATACCCCTAAACCCCTAAACCCTAAGCCCCTAAACCTCCGTCACCAAACCCACCAAACCCCCGAAGCGGCAAACCTCGCCACCATCTGATCTTCGCCTGAAAGCACTAGGCAATGCCTTGCTCTTGGGCGCTGATTCCGGCGACAGGACCTCACCTGGCGTTTAGGGTTTAAAGTGGGGGTTTAGGATAGGATTTAAGGTTTAGGATGTTGGGTGCCCCCTCTCAGATATCACCTTCCTGTCCAGAGGAGCTGCTTTGAAACGGGGAGCGCTTTTGACCCGGTTACCATCGGCGTGGATGCCGCGCTTCTTAAAGGAGTCGAAGTTTCAGAGTTTCTGTGCGCATTTCTTGATGATTCGTGGCTACGAACTTTTAGCTCCGATGTGATTTTGGCTCCTGGGGAGCTTCTGGTCTCAAAATCCAAGGCCGAACCTTGGAGTAGAAGAAGCGGGTGCAGAGTCATGGTCATCACTATCATGATCAACTAAACCCTACACCGTACCGACTTACCGGTCTTTCGTAAATTGGCCCACGTGCCTTTCGCTGTACCGGATTTCAGTCGCCTGGCTTTTCCTAGTTGCGAGTGCTGAAGCCCTACCTGGAGGTTCATGGGTAGCTATAAGTGGGGTTATAAGTAGGGGTTATAAGTGGGTTACAAGTAGGGCAACTTTAGGTACAGTAGTATAACCTATATTAGGAGACTTATAACACCGCTTTTAACTACCCAGGAACCTCCAAGTACACTTTTAACCGCTAGGCTCCAAAGCGGGGTTCGGAGAGGACGCTTAGACCCGGAGACCCCGAAGCCGAAGGTTGCTGCGCGGCGCCTGCCTGGCGGAGGAGCTTTGGTCCTGGCAGACTGCTGCTCAGCCGTGAAGTTGGAGTTGTAGGGCTTTTTTTGGGTATAAGAAGGCGGATAATTATCCACAGAGTTTTGGTGTTCAGGGTTATGGATTGCTTTTTGTTTTAATGCGGGTAAGCCCCAAGTAATTTTTGTTTATATGTAGTGAAGGCAACTAAACCTTCTTGTCGCCCTCCGTAACGTACTTCGTAGCAGGAGTTGGGGCTTCCGCTCCAGGTACCCTCTTGGTGCTCTCGCGCACTTTTGATTCAGTGGGCTCTTATAGTCTATATATTGTAGTATGTTATGATCTGTCATAGTATATTATGATATATAGACACATATACATGTATATACATATGTATATATATATATATACATACATACATATATATATTTTTTTATTTCTATATATTCTTTCAAGCCTGAAACGTGAGACAAGAGCATACCCTGATTGTTGACGAGGTGTTGAACCTCGCGGCGTTTCGAAGTGTACGATCTTAACATGGAGGCCTCAATAATTACCAAGATTTTTCGGTAAACCCCCAAGATCCCCCAAGGCCCCATCCTAGCCCTCGAGATCTGGGATAGGTTCCTGGGTGCTTTGGAAAAAGGATTTGGAGCCCTAACCTACACCCTAAGCCCGAGTTCCTAAACCCTATAAACCTTATAACCCATATTAGTGGACTTATAACTTATATAACCCTCGAAAATCACCCTAACTTCAACGCTCATAGATTCTTTAAAGGAGCCCTACATATAACCCGACTTATAACTACCCATAAGCCCCCAAGCACGGGCGGAGGCGAAGGGGCCTTTCACCTCTGTGGCTCCACACTGAATGCGCGGGGCTTCGGGGACGTGGGCTTCCTCGCCTACCACCTCAGCGCCTCGGGCGGTTTAGGAGTGTTTAGGTTTTATGGTTGCGGAGACCTCTGACGCGAATTTGTGTGTAGAAGGCGCTGACCACAGACCGTGTACCCTAATCTACACGCCTCAAACTACCCCGAAAGACTAAACCCCCTGTTCCCTAAACCCTGCACAATCCAGCCTGGTGAAAAAGGCGTAGTAACTCGTCCTCGTCCCTCACAACCCGGTTCCAACCTCTCTGTGTTGTATTGCTAGACTGGTCAAAGGCTCCACAGTGATCCATGTTTCGATGGGCAGCATCGACGAGCCTCTTGGACATCAAAAACCACCTCAAAAAACCCTAAGCCCTACAGCCTACACCCTGGACCGAACCCGTACTCTGAAGAAGGAGAGTTTCAGGGCAACAAGCCAGGAACCACTTAAGTAGCTACGCTTGAAACCCTGCCTCAAACTTTATGTTGCTGCCTTTGCAGCCCAGTCAGCTAAGTGAGAGGGATAAAAGAACGCCGAACCCTAACTCCTAAACCCTACTGCCAGCCCTAGGTGGCCTGCAAGGGTTGTTCGGGCAAGCCGTTAACACAACCTTCCAACCCCCATTTAATGCAGAAAGTAAGTTGCTGCCTGTAAGCTGAATCCGAGACCCTCTAAGCACACGGGGGTTTCCGAAAATAGGGGACCCAAATATAGTACCCGAAATAGAAGGCTCCTATATTAAGGACCCCTAAATAAGGTGCCCCTAATTTCCGGAAACTTCCACACCAATCGACTTCTTACAGAACCTCTATAGAAACCGGTCCATAACCCTGGTAGAAAGCCGGAGCCGATGGAAAGCTTACAGTAATCCTAAGCCCTACAACCCCAACGCCCCAATGCCGTACAGCGCTAAACCCCAAGACCTGAAAGCCTTTGGCCTTTGACAAACCCTAAACCCTCAAGGACACTAAAAAGGACTTCAGACAAAAGTTCTAAGGGAACCCTTGAGCCCTGAAGCCCTGACCCTGAAAGGCACCTCACGGAAAACCGGAGGTGCCTCTGAAGGGAACCCTTTAAACACCCCCGTAAACCCTAAACCCCATAAAGGCCCCCATAAAGGCCTTATGGCAGTTCAGACGGATGGGCAGCCGCAAAAAGGGGCTCAAAAAAAAACCATAAAAGGAACACCCAAAACAAACGGCATGAGCCCCAAAAAGCCTAAACAGGCGGGATCTCGAAGCGCTCGGCCACCTCGCCACCGACGCTGCGGAGCTGCGCTGCGACGCGCCCGAGCGCCCCGGAGGTTTTCATTGATTTTTTTTTTGTCTGGTTAGTTTTCGAGTGTTTGGCTTTAGCTGTGTTGTTTTTAAGGGGTTTGAGCTGTTTCTGTAAGGTATTCGGGGTTGAAGAATTCGCGTTTTGTTGTTAAAGGGCTTTAAGCTGTTTTTTTTGCGATCCTGCAGTTAGTGTTCTTGTTTGCCGCCATGTTTGTCATTATTGCAACTGATGATATTTTCAAGATAAAGCCGTAGTGTTATCTGTTGGCCACAAAACACTGCAGCCCAAACCCCACGCTCTCGACCGTAAACTCTATAAGAAAGCAAAAGACAAGAAACTCCCTAAATCCCCTCAGTATGAAACCATACGCTCTACCCCAAAACGCAAAGGACACTCTATACGTTTGAAGATCAGGTGCCTCAGACCTGACGCATCACCGCCGGAACTGCTTCTCCTGGTGAATGGAGCGCGCTTCGAGCTGGGCGGGGCGTTTCCGTTTTTTGAGGACTTTAGGGTTTTGGTTGGTGACGCCATCTGACGTCCCCTGAATCTTATATAACTGCTAGTGCAAGGCAGGTGGGGGTTTGGGAAGCAGTAGATGGGAGTTTCCGAAAATTAGGGGTGCCTTATTTCGGGGTCTCTATAATGAGGATCCTACTATTTAGGCTACTATATTAGGGCCCCCCATGTTCGGAAACTCCCTAATCCGAAACTCGAAGCTCCAAAAAAGGCCCTGAGCCTGTTTCCGAAAGCCCCAAGAGCCACTCCTCCTCTCAAAGCCTCTCAGAGTCGGGGCGAGAGATGGGGGTTTCCGAAAATGGGGGATCCTAATATAGTAGCCTAAAGAGTGAGATCCTTATTATAAGGGCCCCAAAATAAGGTACCCCCTATTTTCGGAAACTCCCAGATAGAGCTGGATTAGTACGGAACCTGTGAGAAAGTTGACGGTCATGAAGCAGGCGATGCTGTCGCGCGCCGGCTTCTGCAGACGCTTTGCGATGAATTGGCAGCCATCTTTTGCGTGGTGTTGCGGATGGAGTTGCTTTGATCTGGGTGAGAGAGCAGGATGCATTAGGAACCCGCAGCCGCACGCGTCAACTGTACTGTGCAAACGTCACGCAGTTTGCATCAGCATGTGCTTGAGAACCCCAAAGCCTTCAACCTGAGCCCCAAACCCTTGGACCTGCCGTGCCTGCCTGGGCTGGCACGATGTGGGAGCCAAGAGCAACAGTTATGTTCAGATGGTAGATTACTTGCTGGCTTGCCCCCTTGATTGCAATTATCATAAGAACAATAATACTAATAACAATAAAACAAATGACCAGAATGAAGCATGATTGACGTGCTTTTTCTTATTCTTCTTAGTTAGTAGTCTAATTGTTATCTTGCTTGCCCTTCGTCTAGATGTTGCTTGCCCTTCGTCTAGGTACCTACAGTGTGAAAATGCATGATTGGTTTTTGCTACCCACCGGCCGACCGTCTACTATGTGTCTCTTGTCGATATCTCTGTATTTACGGAAGTGCTCGGTGCGTGTAGATCTACTTTCGGCTTACAAGTATCGGAACTAGGCTTGCAGGCCTTTTCTCCCATAGTTACCATGCGTAGAACCCTACTTGCTATGTCCCCTGATCCCGAAGAAGGCCGAGGAGCCGTAATCCCGGTTTCAGCCTTTTTTGCTCGCGTGATTCAGTTCTGGGTTCTGGCATAGGAGCTGGATTTAAGCAACTACGTATATGTGGCAGTTTAAGTTTCAATAGACCTTGAGAAGTGCTTTCGCGTCTCGCAGGAACTGATCGTAGCAACCGTTTAGCATTGCAGCTCAAAAAGATCTGTAAGTCCCAGTGTGAAGCTAAAGCCTAAACCCTGCTTCGCAGCTGAGGCCCCCAACAGGGTCGGGCCGGCAGTGTGCTCGCTCGGCCATCGCCCGCGCTTTCGGCGCCTCGGAGGGAGAGATTACTTGGAGGGTCGGGGGACTTAGTAACTGGTTATGTTAGGGATTTATAAGTACAATAACCGCAATTAGGGTACTTATAAGTCTACTTACTACCTACTTACTAAGTCCCCCGACCCTCCAAGTAGGGTTTGGGGTGCAGGGTGTCCAGAGATTTCAAAACCACTGAAGCAAGGAATATCCTTCAACTCATAGTAGGGTACGTATAGGACTTGCTTTTGAAGGGATATTCCTTACCGAAGAGGCCTTGGGGTCTCTGGATGTCGGGGTACTACGGGGCCTCGGGGTTCAGGCTGTTGGAGTTGAGGGTTTGGAAGGGCTCGTGAGGAGCCTACTCCGATTCTGCTCCCTTGTGCTATCTGGACTCTGGGTAAAGTTGAGGTTCGCCTTCTGGATGTGATGATGATGGAGTCTTTGCAAGGGCAGGGGGGGATCGCGCTGTCATAGAGATCGAGGTGAAGGGGCTTCTGAATCCCCTGGCGTGGCTCGGGCATGCGGCCCTCTGGGTTTTCAGGCTTCTGGCCTTCTAAGGGTTCGGGGTCGGATGCAACTCCGAAGTGCACAGCGAAACCCGGCTTCATCAACAGGGCTTGAACATGACAGGTGGTCCTTCGGCCTGGAGAAACACAGAGGGATTCATGGGTAGTAAAAAGTAGGGTAACAACTCCCCTAATATGGGTTATAAGTGTAGTTACCATACTTAGAACCGTACTTATAACTACCCAGGAACCTCCAAGTATCTCCTATCGCCTCAATCCCTCCGAAGCCTCTTCTTGGAGGGTCGGGGGACTTAGTAAGTAGGTAGTAAGTAGACTTATAAGTACCCTAAAAGGGACCCTACTTGGGGTTATGGTACTTATAAGTCCCTAAAATAACCAGTTACTAAGTCCCCCGACCCTCCAAGTTCTTCCCAGCCACAAGGTGCAGATCCCTCTCTGGAGGCTCTGCCCAGCTGCGAGAACTGGGGCTATTGGCCCAAGGCGGCCGATTGTGTTTTCAAGATTTCCTTAACGGTTTTGGGAGTTTAGGGGGATCTGGCTAGCCCCAAGCCCAGTGGCAAAAAAGGATATAGAACCCTGAAAACATGAGGAGACTTCAATGCAACCTATAAACATCTATAAACCCCAGGTTCTAAACCTAAGCCCAACCCCGAACTCCCAAGGCAACCCTAAACGCAAAACCCTAAACCCTAAAGCCTGAAACATTCCAGCCTTAGGAGAGAGAACAAAAAGCCCAAAGCCTAAGCCCTAAACCCAAAGCCCTAAAGCCTAAACCCTAAGCCCTAAACCCGAAGCCCTAAACCCTATAAGAACTAAAACCTAAACCCTAAGCCCTAAAGCCTAAGCCCTCAACCCTAAGCCCTAAGCCCTAAACCCTAAGCCCTAAACCTTTCACGAGGCAAGAGGGGAGAACATGGGCCAGCCTTGAACAGCGCTACGCCCCAAACCCTAAGCCCTAAACCCTAAACCTGCAGGTGGAGCGGTTGCGGGAGCAACTCCTTGAGGTTCCTCCGGTGGTCGACGGCGTGCTGCAGGCCACATGTGGCGGTTTCTGTAAAGGTTCTTTTAAGGGTTCCTCTCAGGGTTCTAAACGGGGTTTAGAGTTTAGGATTTTTAGAGTTTGGGGTTTAGTGGTGTAGCGGGGTTTGGGGTTTGAGAGATTTGAAACGTTTCCCATCACCGAGGCTAGTCCGATATGAATATGCACCAAAACCTCATTCCAATTGTTAAGACCCCGATATTAACGGTTTCTGTGTAGGTGGCAGGAGAAAGGAGCCTTTTACAGTTTCTTGATGCCTCGCTAGTCTGGAGCTCCTTCGTAAAGTACCTTCTTAACTAAGCCTTAATGCACAAGACCCTAAACACAGAAATGGAAATCCGATGGTTTCAGTAGGCCCCTCTTGGAGCTCTGTGAGAGCTCCATCCAAAAGTTTCAATCGACCCAGTGAGCCCCGATACCTCTTCAATAAGGAATACTCTCTCCAACATGAGGGATCTTTACTACGAGGTAAGGGGTTTAGGGTTTAGGGTTTAAGGTTCAGGCGTCCTTGCAAGCAAGCCTGCAGCAAAAAGGTTTAAAGAATACTGATTGCAAGATGAGAGATCTTCACTACGATGTAAGGTATTCACTCTTTATGTTATCCAGGGATCCTTTGTGCATTCAAACTACGGAGCTCGGACGAAGTTGGACTCTTTGCCGTGCGAGGCCTCTGGGAGCCAGGTGGCGCGGCGCCTGGAGGCGCTGGTGGCACACTTGGCCGGCGCTGAGTCCCCAGGTGTGGATGCGGGTATTAGGTTTCGGTACAAGGGTTTAGGGTTTCGTCAATCTCGAACTCTAAGACCCAAGTACCAGATCCTCCTGTTCCCCACACCCGCTAAACCCTAGAGGGAAAACTTCAGCTCTTGATTAATCGTGTCGGTGCGGATCTTCCAGGCATCCGCCAGTCGACATTGCATTGCCCAAGCCTGCGTGAAGTCTTGCGTGCCTAGTGCGAGTTGTGAGAATCGAAATCTTATACCCCAAACCGCCAGAACCCATTGTTCCCTTCAGCTGCGGGTCCCGTGTCCGCCGCGGAGCACTCGCTGCGGAGCCGGCTGTTGGATCCCTTGGTGGAGGTGCCGCAACACTCTAAAATTAAGGGCTTAAAGTTTAAAGTCTAAAATCCAGCACCCCTATTCTGATCAGGGGTGCTTTCATCGGTATTTGCTGTTGAACAGGGAGTGCCATTCTCTCCGGTCTTGTTGATGGGGCTCCGAAGGAATCACCTCTCGTGCCGGAACGCCCAGTCATGTCATCTTGTCTCATGGTATCAAAAGTTGGGACACAGCTGTTCCGTAAGAGTGCTCTGCTTTCTCTGCATGCCAACCCGAGACTATAAACCATGAGCCTCACGTGGCTTTGCCGAAATTAAGAACAAAAAGCCTGCAAACTGTGAACTCACATGCCTGAATCCTTAGCATTGGCCTTCGCCGATAAAGGAAGGTAAACTCTCGCGCCTAAACTCTAAACCCTCCTAAACCCTAACTTCGTGAGCTTTGCAGGAGATTGCCAAGAAGTTCACCACTGCTGCCAGCTCTTGGCGCCCCAACCAGGAGAGGGCTTTAGGATAGGGCTCCTTGAAAGGACTCCCCTTGAGGATGTTCGGGTTCGGTAATCGGGCAAAAAAAGACCCACATTTCCGGGAGGATCTAGAAAGTAGATCCCCTAATTTGGGGCCCTATACTAATATACTACTAAGGGTACTTTATATAGGAACCCCCATTAAGGGATCCACTTTTCGGATCCTCCCTGGGCCCTGGGGAGGAGGAGAGAGGTTAGAGAGGGCTCTAGACTAGGGATTTTTTCAGAAGGTTCCTTCAAAGGCCTCCTTTACCTAAATCCGGTTAAGGGATTGCTTGAAAGGATGCCGTTGAAGGTTCTGGAATGAATGGATCTATACCCAGAGAGCCCAAATATCCCCTAATTAAGGAATCTAGCTTAAATCGTAATATGAGTCCCCTTATAATTTGAGGTATATTCCTTAATGAAGGGGTATTGGGTTCTCTGGGCAACAGGCGCCCATAACCGGGAGATCAGGGTTCAGGGGCTCTGGGAAGTTTGGCTTGGCTTTGGGGCTTGGGCCTATAGTAGAGTACTATAACCTAGGGACCTAAAATAACTTGAATAGGCTTTTTGTGGCCCACTATACTGTAGTTATAATAAGGAACACCCAGAATAGCATTGGGGTTTTTGTGTTTTGGAGTGGCTCGGGGTTTGGGTTTCGCTGCTTGAGCATGTCGGTTTGTGAGCCTAAACTGGTGAAGGCCTCTGCTGGGCCAGGTGGAAAAAGCCCGCGACCCCATGCACAAAAAAACCTTCGGTTCTCCGGGACTTGCTTTCGCAAGGATCGGCGCACAGACCTGGGTTCAAGGGTTCAGGGTCAGGGCATGTTTAGCAAGTTGGGGTGATAGGCATGGGCACATGGGATTCGGGGCCTCAGAACAGGCCAAGTCCGCAGAGCGGTTCTCTAAAGCCCCAAACCCCGAACCCCGAGTCCCAAAGTGCAAACCCTGATCCCTTCGTAATCCCCTTATACTTGTAGGTTCATGGGTAGTTGTAAGTCGGGTAGAAGTAGGGGAACTATTCCTCTAATCCATATCACGGGACTTAGAACCCTACTTCTGACTTATAACTGCCCATAAAGCTCCAAGTAAAGGCCCCCCCATCCCTAAACCCCAAACCCTAAGCTTTTAAACCCTTAAATGCCCCGCAAAGGGCGATCATACGAACCTTAAGAGGTGGGCAGCCCTTCCTCTGCAGATGCCCGGGAAGATGACAGCGCCGTGGAGGAGGCGAGCCGGGAGGGTTTTAGGGTTTACGGTGTAGAGGCTTTGCAGGCTGGATGGAAAAGGGTTTACGGTGTTGGGTTTGGGGTTTTAGGGTTTAGGGTTTAGCATTTCGGAAGGATCGGTCTGGACAAAAAATGTAAGGGTCATAAAGGCTTCAGGAACCAAGGAAGCTTCAACTATGGTAAAATTCCTTCTAGTGCGGATCAGGGTTCTTATCTGAGTTTGAAAGCCCAGGCGTGGCTAAGCCTTCTGGCGTGGTCGTAGCCCAGCATTTCAACCTCGCGCTACGCTTCCCTGAAACTCCCAGCCTGCGAACTCGAAGTGCAAAGCAATGATACCACGCTGCTTCTTCACCGCTCAGGTTGAGGGTTGTGCTGAAGACAAGCCCTACACCCGAAGCCCTAAACCCTACACCCTAGGCCCGAAACCCGGTGCTGAAGCCGCTGCAGTTACATTGGGTGCATGATACACACATGCACACACACGTGCATGCATAGATGCATGCATACAAACATGCATGGATTCGTACATCCACACAGTATGTGTGTATGTAACTAGGTAAATGTATATATATATATATGTGTTGGTGCATGTGTATTATGTTAAATGTTCGTATACGTACATAGACACATACATGTACATGCACTCAGATGCACAAATACACACATACACAACTGCGCGCATACTCACACCCACACACCCACACACGCATCTACAGATCCACGCTCCCACGCACATACTTACATACATACAAACATACATACATACCCCAACCATGAACCATACATACATACATACATACATACTTCAACCATGAACCATACATACATACATACATACATACACGTACATACATACACGTACATACATACACGCACAGACATACACGTACACATATACAAATACATATACATGTACATACACATGCATACAGACAGGCATGCATACACACATACACATGAACACACCCAACACACACACACACACATCCGCACATCCACACATTTGCACTCACGCGCGCACACATACCTGCATACTCACACATGCAAGTTCATACGTACATGTACACCTGTGCAGTGTGCATGCAGGTGTATGTCGGTGCCATAAATGTTTACTGCTTATGTACACGTGTGTGTGTGCGTGTACATATGAACTGGCATACACACACTTATGGTCCCACTCATGTGTGTACAACTACTTTCTCCCTATGCGTTCGCCGTTTGCAAGGCGCTCCTAGAGTTCGACGAGCGGTCTGCCTGGCTGTCAGAGGCCGCTGAGGATGAAGGCCCCAGGGCTTCAGAGTTAAGGCTTGAGAGGGTTGAGGCTGTAGGGGGCCTGGGGCGTCGGGTCGGGTCTAGGGCCTAGGGTTTAAGCTTTCGGGCTTTAGGTGGTGATTCGGGTAGGGCGGGCTTGTGGCGCCAGGACTTGGCGGATTTCCTACGTCCCCTTTCTTGGCAAGAGGCCGAGTTCCAAGGTCACAGGTTGACATGTGCAAGATTGCCGGAAATCGTGCGATGTATCGTTCGTTCCAGAAGCAAGCTGCGTTTGAGGCAAAATCGGTCTCAATCTTTTGCCAACTGTGCAGGTGTCAGACCCCTGGTCAAAAATCCTGCAGCACGTAACGCTGAACCGTCTGAAACCTAACTCCTAAAACTCAAATCCTGATCCTCCAGTGCGACGGGCTCACACCTTAAAGCAAACACATGCGAAAACCCTAGAGCCCTCCCAAAGCTTGTAGCTCGCATGAAAATTTGACATCCTTTGCACTTGCACTTGCCTGTCCGCTTGGGTCCGTTCCAGATGCGAGCATGCGGTGATGCTCAGAAGACTCGTGTCGGAATCCGGCGCAACTGCCAAACCAGATCTACACAACTTTCCTTGCGCACACGGTCACGTGTGGATCTTTCATAAAGGTGGACTTCTCAACATCCCTCGGGACAAGCAAACCACAAAGCTTAACCTTGGAGCCCCTCCAGCTGCGGCGCTACCTGCAGAGCTGCTGCGGGCCGTCAGAGAGCGCCTGGCGGCCCGACTCCAGGCGGGGAAGTTCGGTTTTTGCTCAGCATTCTTACGGGCATGGGTTCCTTTAATGAATGAGGCCTCGGTAATTACCAAGACTATTTCAGGTGTTCCTTTTTATAAGTGTGGGTTTAATGGGACCCAAAACCCTCTTCTAATTATTAAGGCGCCCATCTTACAGAACCCTACTATAGATCCCTTATAATCCCTTATAGACCCCCCTAAGGAACCCTTTAAAGGAACCCTCTTCCAACGATTAAGGCCCCCCATAGTATTGGTGATGTAGAAATCTTCCTAGAAGGAGCCTCTCGGGTGTTAGGGCTTAGGACCATGTGTCTGGTATCACCCTGAGGAACTGTCTGGGGAACCCGCGGAACCCTTAAAGGATCCCTTAAAAAGGAACCCTTAAAGGATCCCTTAAAAGGAGCCCTTAACAGGAGCCCTTAAAGGAACCCTTAAAGGGGAACCCTTGAAGGAACTCTTAAAGGACACCCAAATTTCTAAACCGTCAAGGAACCGTTCGAGGATCGCTTGCAGAAGAACCCGGAAGCCCGAGAACCCTAAATGGGTGGTTGTCAAAATCATGATCCCTTGTTGGGTCCCTATTATAATACGGCACCTATTACTTAGGGTGCCCAAAAAGGGACCTTAATTTTGACAAATGCCCAAATCAGAAGCCTTGACCGCATCAGCCATGAGCCAGACAGGGCATCCCAACAAAAAAACTGTTGAGCTGAGGAATAGACTCTAAATTACAGAGGTCCTTAAACTATGTAAGGATCCCTAGTATGATTTCCGTATACCTAAGCCCGAAACCCTGAGGAATAACACTCCTTGGAGTATGATGTCCTTCAGCCCGAAACCCGAAGCTTTTAACCCTAAACTCCCTAAGCCCTATGGGATAACATTCCCTAAAAGCTAAACCCTAAACCCTAAGAAATAACATTCCTTAAAAGCTAAACCCTAAACCCTAAGGGAGCAAAGGGATTTTGGAGTCGCCCGGACGCCAGGGCATCGCAGAGGCCGTTGCGCGAGGGCGGCAGGAGTGCGGCTGCTTCTTCGGGAGGGGTTCGTTTAGGTTTTCGGATTTTGGGCTTCAGGTTTTAGGCTTTCAGATTTTGGGCTTTAGGCTTCGGGGTTTCGGATTTTGTGCATTTTGGGCTTTAGTGTCGGATCTTCGGATTTGGGGTTTTCGGGTTCGGAGCCGCAGCCGGCCGGTTGCAGAAGCTCCCTGAATCCCGAAACCCTCAAGGGTAAACCTTATACTTCTCGATTTGGGGTTTAGGATTTAGGGTTTAGGGTTCAGGGTTTAGGGTTTAAGGGTTTAGGGTTATAGAAGGGTCCCCCACCCTGCAATAGTGACTCTAAGGATTACATTAGGGCCCTATTCTATTCCTATTATACCACTATTAAAGGGTGGGGGGCCTCTTCCAAGGTAAACCTTAAGCCCGAAACTGAGAGCCCAAGCCCAAACACAGATCGTGGGGGATTTACAGTTAGAGGCTCTTGAGGTCTCCCCAGAGACTCCAAAACCCTTTAATTAAGGAATATACCTTAAACCATAATGGGGATCCTAATATGATTTAAGGTATATTCCTTAATTAAGGGGTTTTGGAATCTCTGGGTCTCCAGCCAGTCAGGAAAGTGCGGCACTCCGGCGACAGGGTTCCGTGCTTCGGCTGTTGGATTCGAGGTTTTATTGGGGTTTATTCTCGAGTTGGTTTTGGTCGTCAGAGTTTAGGGCTTTCGAGGGTTGCGTGGCGATTTCAACTTTTTTCTGGAGTTTGGGGTTCGCCATTTTGATGGGCGGAGGTTGCGGCTGAGGACGGTTTCAGATCTAGACCTGAGGGTTTTCGACAGCTGTTTTTTTTTTTCGGTTCTGAATTGTTTAGAGCTCCCTGGCACTGCGCCGCTTTGCTGCCACCGCCGTCGTTTATGCAGGCCCAAGCCCAACAATGAAGGCGCTTGCTATTAAGATCCATGATGGATTCAAGATTTCGGGATCGTCACTGCCATTTTTAGCACTCAGACTCATGTCATGGTCACCAGCTGAGGGGGTTTGAGGCGCAGGCTGAGGCGCACGTGAAACCGGTCGCCATGCCTGACCATGTCCTGTCGACGGGGTTTGCTTCCCCAGACCTAACCACTTTAAAGCTATCCTGCAGGGTGCCGACGAAGTTGGGGCCTGTTCAGATTCGAACACTTGCGTGCGGAAGGCATTGTACAGCCATTACAAAGTCCTAAACCCCAAACCCTCAAACCATGAACTGCAAAGCCTAAACCCTAAACCCTAAACCCTAAACCCTAAACCCTAACCTAAACAACCCCGAGACCCTGAATCCTGGGCTTAGACAGAGCTTGCATCCTCGACCTTTAGCCCATCAGCCTGCGCCCTAAACTTGCATCCTGGAGGCACTTTTGACGGTGGCGCCAGAAAAAGGCTAGAAACCCTCAAGCCGAGCCCTTTCAAACTCCCACCCAACGCCAGCCACACTGCTCAGAACCCCTAACCTTAATCACGAACCGCGAACTCTAACCCCCCGCAAACCCTCACCCGAAACCTCAAAAAGAATCCGAAACCCCCAGAAAGAACCCTAAACACCAAAGAGCAACAAACCCCCTAAGAGAATCCTAAATCACCCAAAAGAACCCGAAACCCCAAAATGAGCCCTAAGCACAAAAAAGAACCCTAAACACCAATAAACGAACCCTACACCCCAAAAAGAACCCTAAACCCACAAAAAAGAAGCCTATTGTATAGAATTATTATAGTATATTCTATATTATAGTCATAGTATATTATAATATATATACATATTAAGCCCTGAATCCGAAGCAAAGGCATCCCGGCGCGACCGTGGAACGCCCTCCCGGCTCGAGCTTTCTCCGGGGTCGCTGGAGTTCCGGACACGGCCGCGGCGTGAGGGTTTAGGGTTTAGGGAGGGGTTTTCCCAAGCCTTTGGAAAAGGGAGGGGGTTTGGGTCTCGGGAGGGGTTGAGGGTTTTGAGGGTTTTGAGGGTTTTGAGGGTTTTGAGGGTTTAGAGGGTTTAGGGGTTTAGGGTTTAGGGTGTTTAGGGTTTCGTATAAAAGCCTGAATAGTTGCTAACATCATGCCTTAGGGCCCTTTAAAGGAAGTATAGTGGGTATTCTGCAAAACCCTCGTATGAGTATTAAGCCCTCTATGTAGGGTTTTGGGGTTGCCTGGGCCTGTGCTGCAGGCCTCGGGTTGATGAGACAAGGGGGTCAAGCGCATGTCTTCTCGCAGTCACCAAGCCCGCAGTTTCAAAAATGGCTTTGAAGTTCAGGGGAGGAAGGCGATTGTAGAAGTCCTGATGCAAAAAATCTTGAGTGCTGTTTCGGTTGAGTCTGCTGGTTCTGTGGGTTCTGTGGTTGGGCGTCTTGGGTGCATTAGGCTTCGGGGTTGGGAGGGTCGGCCTGCCTTCTTGTCTGTCTCTCCGAGGCCCATTTGTTGTTGCACCATGGCAAGAACATGGAAGCGGCAAGCCCTGAAACCTAAAAAGGCCCTGTTCTCGATGTGATCTTGTGCAGCAGACGGGCCAAGGGCCCATAAAATTGGCGGCGCTGAACCCAAAACTGGACCGTGTGCAGCATAGTAAAAGTGCAATCCTGAACTCGCTCGGAATGCCTGCGCCCTAAATCCATAGCCTGGGGTCTGGCTCAGGGTGCTTTAAGTCCGTTACCCAAAACACATAAGAACACACACGCACAGATGGCAATAACTTAGCAAGTCTCTATCTAGCTATCTATCTGTCTGTCTATATGTATATATATATATAATGTGTATATATATATACATACATACTTATATAGATATGTTTGTGTATGTGCGTGTGTATGTGTACGATTGTTAGAAACGCTTTCCTGAGGGTAACAGGAGCTAGATCCCCTGCAGTCCTTGCTTGAACATGCTGCGAATGTAAGAGCACGTGTGGCAAGGGGCAGCGTAGTCCAAAAGAGTTGAGTACACAGACCCCATATCCAGATTCGAAAACTCGGAGAGGACTCCGACGCCGCCCCAGACGCCCAGTCGCCGAAGGAAGGGGTTACACTGCGGGCTTGCTGGTTTTCGCTTCTAGTTTTGATGATGACAGAAGTTTTATTGGCAAGATGAACAGCAACAGCCCAAACGAAGAACAAGTATTGACTGCAATCAATACCGTAGTCAAGACGAGGACGATCCCTGCTGCTGCTCCTGCTGCTCCTGCTTCCGAGTATTGCTACTTCCTAATGCTACATACTACGCCTTACTACGACTTACTACGACTTACTACTACTACTACTACTACTACTACTACTACTACTACTACTACTACTACTACTACTACTACTACTACTACTACTACTACTCCTGCTGCTACTACTACTACTACTACTACGACTACTACAACTCCAACTCCTACTCCTACTCCTACTCCTCGCCACCGCTCGGGTAGTAGTAGTAGTAGTAGTAGCAGTAGTAGTGGTAGTAGTAGTAGTAGAAGTAGCAGTACCACTACGACGATACAACGAGTACGTTACAACGGCTACAGCGGCCACAACGACTACAAACGACTGCAACAAATACAGCGACTATCAAGACTATAATGACTGCAACGACTGCAACGACTACGACGACAATGGCTACCGCGACTACAGCGACAGCAAGCCCAGACAACTACTACAACGACTAGCACGACTGCAAAGACTACACTGCAACAACAACTACTACTGCTACTACTACTACTACTACCACTACGACGACGCCGACTACTACTACTACTACTACTACTACTACTACTACTACTACTGCTACTACTACTACTAGCACTGCCACTACCACCACTGCCACCACTACCACCACTACCACCACTACCACCACTACCACCACTAGCACCACTACCACCACTATCACCACTACCACCACTACCACCACTACCACCACTACCACCACTACCACCACTGCCACCACTACCACCACAAGCACCGCAAGCACCACAAGCACTACCACTACTACCACCACTACCACCACTACTGCCACTACTACTACCACCACTACCACCACTACTACTACTACTACTACTACTACTACTACTCCTGCTGCTACTGCTACTGCTACTACTACTACTACTACTACTACTACTACTACTACTACTACTACTTCTACTACTACTACTACTACTACTACTACTACTACTATCACCACCACCATTACCACTACGACTGCGACGTCGACTACCATTATTGCTACTGCTACTGCAACAGCAACTGCTATTGTCGCTAATGTCGCGGCTGCTTCTAGTACTAGTTCTACAACTACCACTACTACCACTACTACTACTACTACTACTACTACTACTACTACTACTACTACTACTACTACTACTACTACTACTGCGACGACGACGGTTACTACTTCCTACTCCCCCTCCCACTCGTTCTCCTAGTCCCATCCTACCTGAAGCCCTACCCCATTCCTATTCCTGCTTCTACTTCTGCGCCGAATACTTCTACTCCGACTCCGACGACAACTTCCAGTAGTATTACCACCACCTCTATCCTTGCCGCTGACTTGCGAAGGCTCAGCCAGAAAATTCCGCCGTGCAACGTTTCCTTGCAAGGGCCATGTGTGAAGGATGCGGCTGCAACCGGCCTGCGAAGGTTACGGCGGTAGTTGGGGCGCTAGTCTTGCTACTTGGAGTCGCCCTTTACGTCGGGGGCGTTGCTGAGGCCTGGCGCAGAGTTGGGCAACAGATGCTCGTGGACGGGGAGACGCACTTCACTGTAAGCGTAAGGGGTGATATCGACCATGACGATGCCAAGTTCGTATTCTACTCAAACGTTTCGGAAGACTGCAAGCAGCATACCGAGTCTATAGTCATCCGCCAGACCTATACCCGGGAACTGTTCAGTGTGGATTCCGCCTGCTCCTCGGGGCTCATGAGGGACGGATATGGCTGGAAGGGCCAGCACCTGGTGTCACTGGGCACATTTGCCCCAGGCGGACGTACCTACGGTGATTTTGAGGTTAGTGCCTCACATCCAACCTGGGTGGTTGGCGTGGGACATTCCACGAAGCCATATGGTTACTTAGGGGTACTTAGAAATAAATTTTAATCTTTGGTTATTATCATCCTCAAGAAACAGCAAAAATTAAAATTCTTGCTAGGGTTCTAAGTTCAGTATAGTAGACCCTAAATTATAGAGGTCCTTAAACTATGTAAGGATCCCTAGTATGATTTCCTTATACCTGAGCAGTATAGGTTATGTGGAGGAGAATGCAGTCGTTGGTCTGGCTATGAGCGGATTCTTCCTGGGCATCGGCGGTTCCATCACACTCTTCGTCAGCTTGTGCCTCCTGTGCTGCTGCTACCGGCCGGCTAAGGTAGATGCTAGGGAGGCGTTACTGGCGTTGCATCAAGATCAATCTCTGCAGGTGGTGCAGGCCCCAGTTGCTGCGGCAACGCCCATCTTGGCTGAAGCAGTAGATCCGTAAAGTCGAGCCATGTACAGATACCCGACTTTTCTATGTCGGGCTCTTCATTATTGAAAAGTGTCTGGTCCTTCCGAAGGAAGCTGCAGGTTCCTATTCCTCGGACTGCAACACTGAAGCACTGCTTTCATGGGTCTCGTCGCAGCAAACCCGGTGCACATGTTGCTGGGCAGGTTGCTCTTTGAAGCCCGAGGTGTGAGGCATGTGAAACAGGCAGCGTGCGCCCTTGGTCCAGGCCCTAGGTGGACGCGGGAGTTTCAGAGAATAAGACCCCCTTGTACAGAAACCTCAACATGATACCTGATTGTAAGGACCCTGTGTAGTACGGTGTCATGATGTTGAAGAACCGATCCGTTCAAGCCCTTATCAAGCCTTTTACAGCCCTGTTCAAGCCTAATCCTAACGAAGCCTTATCTTTAAGAAACCTCCCTATGGCTGTTCGGGGCGAGTTGTCAAAGTCATGCTCGGCAGAACCCTAAACCCTAAACCCTGCCGCAAACCCCGATACCCTCAAAATCCCCGGAGTTGGCTTTCGGGCATTCGGCCCTACCATGCTGGAGCCCAATAAGGTGCTGACAGAAGATGTCTTAAAGAATAGCTTTAGATAAGCCCAAGTTTGGGGTTTATTCACAGGTCTGAAGATTTTGTAAAGGTATCCTGTTTTTCGTCCCTGCAACTATACGCTCTACGACAAACCCTGTAACTACATTAAATTTTATCCTAAGCACGACAACCCTGCATGCGTAAGCTAGGGCAGAGGTCGGAATAGGAAGTACTAGTATGCCCTTATAGGCTTGTATTTTTATGGTATAGTAATCTACCCAAAAACCTGAAATGGAGGATCTTGGGACTCAGTAAGTAATGTTAGAAGGACCTTAACTGAGTTTACAAGTATTTATAATATATACCTATAGTTATCTCATGTATGACCCTCGTTACTAAGTCCGGATCCTTCAGATATTCTGTCTCATCAAGCCCCGCAGCCCTAAAAACCCTATAGAACCCTTTTAGGGCCTTGGCAGTCAAGAAAGGAAAGAGCTCCTTCAAGGAGCCCTACTCTTTTTTGTTTCTAAGGCCCGAGGCCCAAAAGCCTTCGAAACCCTATGTGGACCTAATTACAAGACCCAACCAAAAGTCTTCAGTATACCTAGTAAGGTCTCAACACAAGATCCCACGAAGACATAAATATGAGACCCTTCCAAAGTACTTGGAAGTCTGTGGGTAGTTATAAATGAGGTTAGAAATCCCCTAATACGGGTTATACCTATGCTTCCCCGACTCAGAGCTCACTTAAAACTACCCTTTCTCCCTACACCCTATATACTCTAAGCCCTAAACCCGGCAGAGCCCGTACACGAACCCTGCTTACAACTACCCATGAACCTCCAAGTATAACAAATGAGGCCTCCATCCTAAACCCTAAACCCTAGACCCTAAACCTTAAACGCTAAACCCTATAGAACCCCAAGGAACCCTATAGAACCCTTACAGGGGCCCTTACTAGTAAGGCCTCCTATACTCAGAGGACGCTTGCGGCGCTCCTGGGCGCCGCAGAGGAGGCGGTGCTGCGAGTGGAGGCCTTCCACAGCTAGGACTATATAGTCTATAGGTTCTGGAATGCTAAATGCTCTTCGTTGTTTTGGAGTCTACACTAGGCGGCATGTGCAGTCCCTCGACCGAATCTTCTTCAAATTTTCTTCAAACTCTACAGCTCATGAGCCCTAAGCTCCCCGAAACCTAGGCCCTAAGCCCGCAACCCTGAGCACCCAGGACGGACCAGGAACCTTCATAATCCTGATCGTATCCTAATCCCGCTCAAACCCTAAACCGTCGATCCACTGAAGCCATCTGAACCCTCAGCCCTCAAAACCTCGAGCCCAAGAACCCTCGGACCCCTGAACCCTGGCCGTGCTACATTGAAACCCTCAATGCTGAACCCCAGGGGTTGAGTTTTGACATTCAGGGCGTAGAGGTTTGTAGCATTATTTTTTTTTTACCGCAATACCATGTGGACCTTTGGGTGTCCGAAACCCTCAGAGTCTAGAAGTTTGTAGTACTACCTTTTACGGCAATACCATGTAGACCTTTGGGTGTCCGAAACCCGACCAAAATCCGACTCCAGAAGCACTATCTTATTCGCTGTAGCCTTGCGGGCCCATCATAACGCTGCGTGTTTTCGGGCCCCTCGAGGCTTTCCACGTGGCTGCCGAAAAACAAGCCAAGGTGTGCTTTGCAAAGAGACGTGCAGAGGGGGCTTTTTGGTGGCTTCCTTTCTGGCTCCCATTGAGTTAGGGTTTAGGGTTTAGGGTTTAGGGTTTAGGGATTCTTGCGTGGCGGTCATGTCTTCGCGTCCTTCTGCTCTTAAGGCTGTTGGGATTGCAAGATGCTCTAAGCTTGAATTTACATCCGAAGCGTCAGAACGCTTTGGTTGTAGCATCGTAGCGTTCTGGGGCTTTTACAGTTTAACCCTGCCGCTGTAAGCCCGAAAGCCCTAAACGGGCAGAGACTCTCCATTAGCGGGGCAAGGAGCTTCGCGAGATCTTCGGGGAGGCGACGATCCAGGCGCCTTGTGAAGTTTTTAGATAGGAAATTATATTTTTTCGGGTTTCTAGAGGGTTTAGATTCCGTAAGCTTTACAGTAAGGGCTTCTACAAGGGTTGTTACAAGGTTTTTCATGAAGGTGACCAAAGTAGGGGCCAAGCAGGGTTTATGTCGGGTGGGGTGAGAGCATGTATGGGGGCTGTGACACACCCGGCGTTGAGGGGTCCACCGGTGTCTCCCTGGCAGCTGCACCAGCCGCGACGTCAATGCTTCTGGCGCGGTACGTCTACTTTGCCTCCTGGGTCCTCGCTACCTCCATCCGCGGCTGCAGCCCCAACCGTCGCTCCTTTGCAGCTGGCGGATCCGCTGCAGACGGTGCCGTCTGTGGTGCCCAAGCGAGGTGAGCCGGTGCCATCTGATGTGGTGCCCAAGCACGTTGAGCCAGAAGCCAAAGCGCGTTGCGGTTCCCGCAGCCACTGTGGTGAAGGCCCTTGGAGATGATGTCCTGTATTAGTATTAGTGCTATACTATTGTTATTATTATTACCATTATTATTGTTATTATTGTTGTTACTGTTATTATTATTATTATTATTAGGCTACGGTTCTCTTTTCCATCTGCCCGCTCGAGATGAGAGGGTACGGGGTACGTGCTTCAGACTGCGGGGTGCCGCTTTAGTACTGGTGGGCTGTAGCAAAGACTAGCAATGTAAGTCCTACCACATGGGGTTTTCTGGCTCCACGGGCGGGTACGAGCAAATTAGAAGAGTGCTTTAAAAGAGCTTCGGGATACTTTTAAGGGTTCCCGGAGTTCCCCCTCAACCCTAAACCCTGAACCGTAAATCCGAAACTAAACCCGAAGCCCTCCACCGCAAACCCTAAACCCCAAACCCTTAAACCCAAACCCTACGGGTGTCGCGGAAAGGCGGCTGCGCGATCGGAGGCAGCGGAGCAGGAGGACAGCGAGGCAGGGGTAAAGGGCCCAGAAAGCACCCCAGAGAGTTTAGGAGTTTGGGGTTTAGGGGGGTTTGTAGAAAAGGGTTGAGGGTTTCCGAGGGTTCCATAAGAGTCCCTTGGGCGCTTCTATAATGGCCCTATAGAGGGTTCGCTAAAGGGTTCTGTAAGGGCGCTTTAGAAAGTTTAGGGGCTGGGGGGCTTATGTTGAAAGGCGGGGGCCTTTCTTGAACTATAGTATTCAGAAAAATAATGTCTGCAAGAAGCAGGACATAGGGGGCTGACTGTTTCGTTTCTTTGGCCTTCAGGAATTTGAGGTTGTAGTGTCAGGGTTACTACATGGGTTCCTACGTGGGCTTATGCTTTGACGAGCCATAGTCATCCGGGCTCGTCGGGCGGCGAAAAGGCAGTGTGTAGGGTTTTAGAGTCTTAGGGTTCAGGGTTTGTTTCTGGGTTCAGAACGTGAGAGTTTCAGAAACTAATGGAGCCGACCAGGAAGATAATGTCCTAAAGGCTACCACTGATTCAAGGCTTCCCATAAATACACCGCGACCTGCAGGCCGAGACCGCAGATTCTTAGGGGTACTTAGAAATGATTTTTAATTGTTTGCTTATTAAAATCCTTAAGAAACAGCTAAAATTGTAATTTTTGCTAGGGTTCTAAGTTCAGTATAGGATTGAGATGTTAGGTTCAGGACTTCATGACAAGATGCGCTTGCGGGGCCGTAGACACGAGAGTCGAGAGTGTGGGTCGCGAGGCGGCAGAGGAGGTCGCGCAGTGGCAGGTTCCCGAAGCTGCTTGCTTGGGTGTTTCGGGCCTTTAGAGTTGGAGTTCCGGGTTCCGGATTCTGCTTCGAGGTTCATGGGGTAGATAACAGTGGGGTCATAATGCTTTGTAACTATAGTTACTCTACTTAATAAGCCACACTTATAACTTGTAACTAACCATGAGCCTCGGGCTATGGGATGCCATGGGTTATGGGTTTTTGGCCTCTTCGATCCCTATAAGTATGCTACCGCATCTGGGCATGGTGGTCGGAAGTGCGCCAGGGTCCCGGGAGAACTGGGTTGACTGGGTTTGGGGTTCGGGTTGAGGCGTTAGCGTTAGGACTTAGGATGAGGGTCATATGCTCCAAGACACCATGCGAGGCATCTGTTGTTCCAGGGCGTCACGCAAAGGCCTCGGGCAAGCAAGCAGGGCGGATGAAACAAGCTACTTATGCATCTTTGGCCGACTACCGTGTCATGCTTAAGATATCATCTCATCGCAGTCGAGATCTTTACCAAAATGCCCCACGCTCCATGTGCCGAAGCCTTCAACGCGTGAAGCCCCACACCTCCAAACATCCGAGACCCTTAAAACCCTGAGCTCTGCAGCTTTAATACTTAAAGACGCATTAAAGCCTATTATTTTGAAACCCTAAACTCCTGAAGCCTAAAAGCCCCAACAACCCCGAAGACGAAAAACCTAAGACTCGACCAGCCTAGGCCCTAAAACCCTAAACCGAACCCTGAATACCCCAAGAGGTCTAGGCCAAAAGCCCCCAAGCCGTAACGGAACGAGCTTGCCAGGAGGAGTGGGAGCGACGCTTCTCGCAGGACCCCGTACATTTCTGAAACGAGATGTTTGTCCACCTCCCTGGCACAGTTGTATACAGCAGGCTTGAACATTTGCTTTTGAGATGCCGAGTAGGGTATCTCAACATCTGAAGGCACCTCAAATCCCAAGTGAGTGGTTGTCAAAATTATGGTCCCTTTTTGGGTCCCTATTATAATACGGCACCGATTATTTAGGGTACCCAAAAAGGGACCATAATTTTGACAACCACCCAAGTTGAGGAGGAGGCTTCCGCCTGGCAGCGCGCAGAGTGCTGGACGGCAAAGTGTCAGGCATCGGCCATCGGCCATCGGTGCTGCTTCTTCTCTTCTTCTATTGATTATTAAGGTTCTGATGATGGATGATGATGATGGTTCTTTGGTTTATGACTTTTCTTCCTGTTGTCAGCATGTAATTATGATAAGTTTTTAGTGGTTCTGTTGATGATGATTGCTGTTGCGCTTTTTTGGTGGTTCATGGTTCAGTGCGACGGTCCCAAGGTTCCAGGGTTCAGGTTTTAAGGGATGTGGTGGTCGTCGGATGGTACCCATTCAGTTTGAAACTGAAGCCCCAAGTCTCCGACTCCGACGATACCGGTTTTTTTGTGCAGAGTGCAAGCAGGGCCACGCTCTATCCGTAGCCCTACACCCCAGACCCTAAACCACAAGCCTTTGCCCCTCCTCCCTGCAAGGCTATAGTTGTTCAGCGTCAAGTTGTTGCAACACTTGCGAACGCCCACCCGCGACACCCCAACTCCTGAGCAACACAGCAAACTTGAAAGCTTAAGCCCGGAAGCACCAAGCCCTCAGGTTGAGGGTGCCGTCCTTGTTGAGCTTTAGGAGGTTTGGGAGATTTAGGGGTTAGATCCAGGGTGTAAAGGGGGTAGCACAAAGGGTTTCAAGGAGGTTGAGGATTAGCTGGAGGTTTAGAGGTTATGGTTCAGAGTTTAGGGGTAACAGGAGCTGGTCGACGACCTGTCCAGCCAGCTTCACTCGCTGGAGGTTGGGTAACGAAATGCTTTTCTGACTAGGTTTCACCCGGGCTCTACAGGGTTTTTGGCAGGGGTGTATACGAGGTTGTTGTGATCGAAATTTGCACACGGCTTGAGGCTTGAAAGCGACCGAGCCATGACCCATCCTTGTTCAAACATTTGGGCTTGAGGGCTCGGAGTTTCGGGTTAGGGTTTATTTGGCTGGGCATTAGGACATGTGCGCTGCAGCCGCTCCTTAAAACAGGCTCAGGGTGCAGGGTATAGGGACTGGGAAGCTCAGCCACGATATCTGAGCCCTTTGAGTGGTTGTCTGGGCTAGTCATCTTGCTTGCAGTGCTCCCGGCGACGAGGCCCGCTAGCAAAAAGGGTTCAGGGTTTGGGGCCTAGGATTTATAGTACAGCACTTGGAGTTGGCCTCAGTCAAGATGATTGCAGGTCGAGGTGTCCAGCGGCACAGAGGATTTATGGTGCAGAGTTCATGAAGATGTGCAGAGACTTCAATGAGAGAACCGAGCACGTATCAAAATCTCAAACGTTTGCGTCTCGTCAAGATCACAGACTGAAACCCTTCAGCCCTCAACCCTACAGCTGTGGTCTTGCGTTCAGGATTTTCGGTGTAGGGTGTCGCAAATGCCTCTTAACTTCAGCCAGAAATGGCCCCTGAACCCAGCAATTGCTCTGGACCAGATGTCACCCTGCTTCTAAGATCTTCGAACGTGCCTGAAAGCATCTCAGGGGAAGATGCCCGACGTCCTCTCGGGTGCCGTCGTTCTGGAGAGGGTTCCTTGGCGAAGACTTTGCTGGACGAGGGGAAGTTGGGGGAGCTTCAGGGGTTTCGCTCTTCGGATTGCCTGACCGCATCCTTGAGGCAGACGTTACACCTTGATTTCTGCAACTTTAGAACAGGTTCCCTGCATTGCGACATAGTCTGCTAGGCGGGTCTCCACCCTGCTCGCAACCCTACCCCTGAATCCTCGTCTTGCCGATTCCTGAACCCGCTTCGCATGAAGGCTGTCTCTTGCCAGCTTCTTGCCACCCCAAAGAGAGCACACACCTTGAGGTTGAGGGTTCGATCTCAGAAGGTGCATTGGCGAAGGCGGCGCCTCCAACATTTTACCCAAAACCCCTAATTCTTCGGCGTGCGCTTAACCTTATATGCACCCTAAACCCTAGACTTTAACAGCCTTAAACCAGAAATCCTAAACCCTAAACCTTAATTCTAAGCCATCGACCCTAAACCTTGACCCTCTACCCTAAATCCTAAACCGTAAACAACTCACCAGTGGTTGGCTCAGGTTCGGTCTGACCTAGAAGTGATGAGAATCGGCCGCCGTGAGGCCTGGCGGGTTCAGGGTCTAGGCCTTTTCGCGATTAGGGTTTTGGGGTTGCAGGTTAATGTAGGGGCCGAAATACTTTCCCGTACTATTTTGGTAGTTCCTGCCTAATCATGGTATAAACATACCCCGAAGCCCTATTCTACCGAGTAGGTATTAAGGCCCCTGCATTAGGGTGCAGCGTCCAGTCTCTAGGGCCTTCGGGCGCCTCAACAGGTGCCATAAAGGAAGCCAAGGTTAAGGAGAACTCTTTTGTGGGTTCCACCTTCATATTGCCATTTGCTGCTGAATCCTCTGTTGCGCATGGTTTGGGGTGATGCTGACAGTAGGATTCTCGAAACGCAGATCCCTGAGAGCAGGGCCGCATATTCTCGGATTTTTTGAATAGATAGACCCAGTGCTTGCCGTGCCTATCCCATCATCGCTGCCTGAAAAGCCAAAGCCTTGTTCCCTGCGAAAGGCCCTAAAGCGGCTAAACTGATACTACTGTTGATGATATAAATCCTGCATTACCTGAAGGACCCTAAACTATGGGAATTATGGTATATTCCTTATTATGGGTAATGCAGGATTTCTATCATCAACGTAGTAACATCTAACCTTCAAAACGAGAAGCCCTTAGTGACCGAAGCCTTGCAACATGGTGGCAGAAGTACCGGTGGTTGTCAAAATTAGGGTCCATTGTTGGGTACCCTAAATATGGGTGCCGTATTATAATAGGGACCCAAAAAGGGACCATGGTTTTGACAACCACCCATTTCGAAGAACCTGCAGGTCCTGAACTACAACACCATCCACCAAGCTCAAGGGTTGAATTTTGTCCTGTCTGCCAGCCTCGACCCCTTTGCACCCTAGGGCTTGAAGTCCCAAACCTTCAGCCCTGATCCCAGAACGGAAGTGTCACACCCTCGCATAAGCCCCAGACTGCTTTCAACTTAAGCCCTGGAGGTTTAGGGTTTAGGGTTTAGCAGACCTGACCCCCGCACCCCAAGACCCTGAATCTAGCGCTGCAAGGAGCGAAAACCCGGCCAACATACCTCAGAGCTCACCTGCAAACCCCAAACCCTGAACCCAAACCATCCCGAAACCGCTGGAAGCCTTCAGAGGCCCTAAACCCTACTTGGAGGGTCGGGGGACTTAGCAAGTAGGTAGTAAGTAGGCTTATAAGTACCCTAACAGGGACCCTAATTGGGGTTATGGTGCTTATAAGTCCCAAAAGTAACCAGGTACTAAGTCCCCCGACACTCCAAGTAAACTCTAAACCCGAAGCCTTGCACCTTAAACCCTAGACTGCAACAAGAGCCCCTTTTGAAGGTTTCAGAGAGGGCCTCGAAACGGATCGCCGCGGAGTTGGAGGAGATCCCTCGAAAGCCTACAAAGCTCTGCTTGCTAGTCGATTTGGGATAACCTTTAATTTCCCTTCTTGTTTACCAAAGAGCCCTAAGTATTAATAATTTTGGGGACCCATGAAATCGACACCTAGTGTGTACTTGCTACTACGATCTTAGGGTTTAGGCAATAGGGTATAGTCAAAGTGAGCAAGTCTCTGGTTCTATACAAAACGGGAGTTTCCAAAAATTAGGGGTACCTGATTTTGGGGTCCTTATAATAAGGATCCTACTACTTCGAGTACTATATTTGGGTCCCTTATTTTACGAAACTCCCAAATGAACCCAGAGCCCTATTCCAAGCCTTAATTAGAGGCCCTTACTTGCCATTAGGTTGGAAGAAGGTTTAGTTCTTCACAGGTTGTCTGGGTTCTATCAAGGTCCGGAGGGGATGCTATAAAAGGGGGTGTGCGGCAGTTCTGAAGGGGCTTAGAAAAAGAGTATTTTAATTTGTGTTTAGGTTTGGCAGGGTGGGGATGTGCAAACCTCAACTCGCAAGCATTAAACCCTACAACCCCGTCCCACCTGCGAGCAGTGGGGTTCATTGTGAGGGCTTCAGCAGCCTTGCTGGATGTTTGTGCAGGGTTTGGGCTGTCAGTTTTACGGAATTTCAGGCATTACACCAAATCCTGAATGCTGCATATGTCCGAAACCCCGAACTGTGACCAGAATTTCCAGGTCCTCCCAGGTTTATGTTTTTGGGTTCAGGCAAGGTGCCGTTGTATGACTCGAAGAGTGACTTGCGCAACAGGAGCTCCGAGACAGCTGTGCCTTTGAGGCTTCAGGCGGACCACGGCAGTGAAGGGCGTTCGGTTCAAGGGTTTGGGGTTGGGTTAGGGTTTAGGGTTCCTACTTCACTGAGTATTCTTGACTTGCGGGATGTTCCTCCCTGTGGATCTCCCTCACATGGGGGAGCGACACGCTCCCCACGTGGGGTAAATTTCAGGGCAGAGAGATCGTTTCAGGGAGGGATGGGATGCCTGGCTCATGGAGGAGTGGGGTACCCTTGGGTTGCGATCACGTAACGAAACACCTGCGCCCCTTTTTACCTAAACCCTCCACCGCTGAAGAGACGGGTCCATGAACGACCTTTCATAGCCAGCGCGGAAAATGTGATTTACCAACATCATTCACGAGACAAAGATCATCGAAGTAAACCACTGCCAGCACCGAAACAACCCTAAACCCTAAACCAAAAAAACAAAACCACCAGCAAACGCCTACCAAAATTAAACGTAATAGACCCCACATCAAGCTTACTACGGCTTCGGCAATCTCCAACTTAAGCCTTGGGACCGGCAGTGCCAGACTCCAAGCTCCACGCGATGCGCCTCAAACCCTGAGCTCCGAACACCGAACCTGCACCCTAAACCCTAAATCCTGAATCCTGGAAGGGGAAAAAAACCTTAAACCCAAACCCCAAATCGACAAAAACCTGGCGTTTGCTTAGAAAAGCCAACTCCTTGTTTGCCAGGCCACGCAGATCTGTCGAGCCGCATTTCGCGGGAGATGGAGCAAAGGTGGGAGGGCTTGACTGCTTAAGAGTGTAGGGTTAACTGTTTTGGGTTCAAGGTGGGCAGCACTTGGTGGTTTAGGGGTGTTTCTGTTTGGAAAATACATTTAAATTGGCTATAGTGCCATAAGCCAGAGGGGTGTCGGGGATGCGGTGGTTTGGTGTTCCTGCTGCCTCCGAACCAAACCTTGAATTCCTCTTGTCCTAGTCGGTCTTGCTAGGAGCATAGCAGAGCAGCCGGAGGAATGAGCAAACCAATTTCTTCATCGAGCATGTGTGAAGCCGTTAACCCTAACTCCTAGCACTTGGAGTAAGGGGGAGGGAGTTAGGGGACAAAACTTCCTTACACAGGCATTGTTAGGTCCTTATTATGGGCATTAAGGCCCCCTACCTCTCCCTGAACCCGAGGCTACGTCGATGGGCACAGTCACTCTATGTGTTGCTATAACTTGTCGCTGTAGGCGTCGTGACGAAGCCTCTTAGTGTCGTTTCACTTTGCAGACTCCAAACCATATGCCTCGCCTGGATTGTCCGAGTGTGAGCGCCGAAACTCTAAACCCTCCCCCCCCACCTCCCCAAGCGTCCCTATGACTTGAGGATGGCAGTGCTTCAGCAGCTTCTGGAGGAGGCTGGGAATCTACGTTTACTTGGAGGTTCATGGGTAATTATATGTGGGGTTCGAAGTCCCCGATTTTGGGTGTGATAAGTATAGTTATCTGGGTAGTTATATGTGGGGTTCGAAGTCCCCGATTTTGGCTGATAAGTATAGTTACCCTACTTATAACCCGGCGTCTGACTACCATTCCCGCCCTTTCTGTAGGAACACTCTTCCGATGACCGGTTCCTTAGATAGGGTGAGGGGGTGTCGGAGAGAATTTGCGGAGCTTTTGGTAGTGAGTCCTCCAGTGAGCAAGGGACGCGAGCTTTATTGATTTGTGTGGATTAGGAGTTTGTTTGATGCTGACGCTTCTGGCTTGTCCGAGTTGCGAAGGCTACTTGGAGGTTCATGGGCAGTTATATGTAATATAGAAGCCTAAATAGTTACTTCTATTATTCTTTAGGGTTCCTTATTTTTACCGTATTATACCGGAGTCCAAAACCTTATTCTAATTCTGAGTGAATTACTAAGGCCCCTACATGGCAAGCAAGGTAGTTCTGCTGTGAGCCTCCAGGGCGCAGGGCCCTGAGACCCGGACAGGAAAGCTATCAGCGGCGCGAGCGCCACCAGGCCTTGGTGGAGGCCGGTGACCCACTCGGGGTTGAATACTTTTGGGGCCATAATAATTGCCACTACTATTTTGGAGGGTTCCCTATTCTGCTTATAGTATAATCCGCCCCAAAACCTTATTCTAACCATTAAGACCCCTATATTACCGGGGCTTGACTCATCAAGGAGGCAACTTACTCCTTCGGGCTTCCGAATACTTGTGTAGTCCGGAAACTCCCAAATGCCTGGTCTTATTCTTCAGCTTCTATATTAGGGTCTTGTGCTTGCGAGTAGGGTCCAGCGCTTACGGCTGAAAGTTGAGGCTTCGGGCGGGTTGAGAATTTGTATTTACCTAATTTTCCTTGAGATGGGAGGGGGTTTAAGGGTTCAGGCTTGACTTGGACGGTGTAAAGGTTTCGGTCCTGTATTTCAAAGGGGTCTTGAAGTCTGGGTAGACTTGAGTCCAGTCGGAGAACAAGGCTTTAGACTTTCCGCGCGACAGCACCGGACTCAACATGTGCATTGCAGCCTGATGTTTGCGGTTGCTGCCATAGCGAAGTAGGCCCCCGACGCCAATCCCAGCCATAAATCCCAAGATCCCCGAAGCCGGGAAGCAGATTTCGCAAAGCAACTGAACGAAGCGCTCAGTCAGCTCAAGGCGCCACAACACTTTCCTTACTCGCCTTATTCTAACACAGAGATAGCTGCGAAGCCTCGGTGCCTCATGGCGAAGCCTAGCAGCGAAGCCGTCGTCTTCGATGGGGAGGAGTTCCGTGACACGGCTGAGGGTTTAGGGTTTTGGCTAGACTTCAGTCCAGTGGCAAAAAGGGGGGTCGGGGGTTCCACTTGGCGCTGTGTTCGGGGATTGGGGCTTTCGATGAGGAGCCTTCTTTCGATCTTCTTGGAGTGTAGGGTACCTGGTACGGTACCTCCAACCAAGGCCTACAGACTAAAGCCGAACAGCCTGAGGTGCGTATGCTCGTCTCTTGCTTGGCACCCTATCGCCCAGCACGCGTCATCAATTTTCAAGTGCTTCCCCAAAGGCTTTGGGGGTCCAGTATTGTAATCCCGAAACCCGAAGAAACCCTTCCACCCATCCCTCGTGCAAGGCATCTCACAGCTGGACGTCCGGGGTCACCTCCTGATGCCTCCTTGGATGGGCCGCATAGTTGCAGTGGTCACCGCTGGACCGTGCTTTTTCGACTCGCTCTTCTGGGTTGGGGCAGGCAGTGAGGCGGGTGTCTCCTCGCTACACCTTACTGTCTTGCTGTTAGGGCCTTGGGCTTCGTGGTATCCTGTTGGCCAGCCCTTGCTTTCTGCTTGGGCTTGGGGTTCACGGCCAGGCGTTGGCATTCGGTCTGAGGCCGACAACCCGACACCTTGCTGGCCTTCCTTAGCCAAAAAACTGTCGTCGTGCATGCTTAGTTATAAGTGGGGCTATAAGTCGGGAAACTATCATCATAACCCGTATTGGGGACTAGGCCACTTATAACTACCTACCCACGTCCCTCCAAGGTGCCCCTGGCTACCTCCGTTCAATCTTTGTACAGGCTGCATGGTTTCTTTCCTCGGTCTTAACGCTACATCTTCGCCCAGACACGCAGCAGCTAAAAGTTAGAAACCCTAAAGCCATCAAAACAATGACGCCTCCTCTTAGTGAAGTCTCACTTAGTATGACTCCGAACCACATGCCTCGCCTGGATTGTCCGAGTGTGAGCGCCGAAAGCCATCAAAAGTGTCAGAAGAAGCCTTCCGAAACCGAAACCCCTGAAGCCCGAAAGAGAAACCCGAAGTCTGAGCCCTCAGCCTCTCCGGCCCGCAAAGGCCTCGGCCTAGGAGATCCTACTTAGTAGCCTAGGTAGGCCTTTGGGACATTTTACATTTTCCCTTATTGGGTCTCCTGAGACCCTACTTACGAATATTTTTCAGGGGCTTTAAAGGGCCAACCTAGGTGCACTTTTTGGATCTTTTTGGTGCCCTTATAAAACTCTGAAAGTTTACACTTCTGGGCTCATGAGCTGAGCAACGGAGCCTAAACTCCAAGTCCGCAGAAAGCGCCATGCCCTTATGGCACCTTTCATAGAGACCTTAAAGGAACCCTTAGCAGACCCACTAAAAGAACCTTTCCACGGAACCCTCAGAAGATCCGACAGACCCTAAACCCTAAACCCTTAACCCTTAACCCGAAACCCTAACCACGCGAAAGTCGAGGCCTTGGTCTTGCTGGAGCTCTGGGGCTAGGTGCTACGAAGCTCTGGAAGAGCGGTGACCTCCAGGCACGGGGGGCTTGGGGGGGGTTTAAGGCTTGAGGTGTACTGTAGTAGGGTTTGGGGCCAAGTTTAGGGTTCAAGGTTTAGGGGTTAAGGTTGAAGGTTTCGGCTTCAGGGCGTACTTGGAGGTTTCATGGGTAGTTATAAGTAAGGTTTTCAGTAAGGTAACTATACTTATGACCCATATTACAGGGCTTATAACCCACTTACACCTACCCATGAACCTCCAAGATAGGCCCTCTAAACCCTATACCCTCATAGGATCCCTATAGATCCCTTTAAGCGGACCGAGCCCTTGTAGAATCCCTAGGGCCTAGGACCCCTCACAGAGGCAGCGCGGCTCGCCGGCCCCGGCCTCGCACTGCTCGGCATGGCGGGGGTGGCAGCTGCCATCTTCAAGGCCAGGGGCACTCTTACTTGGAAGGTCGGGGGACTTAGTAGCTGGTTATTTTAGGGACTTATAAGTACCATAATCCCAATTAGGGTCCGTTTTAGGGTACTTATAAGTCTACTTACTACCTACTTACTAAGTCCCCCGACCCTCCAAGTAGGGTTCTTTAAAGGGATGCATGATCAGGGCTTCTATAGGGTTGCTATAAAGGTATTATACTGGTACTTCCGTAAACGGTTCCTTGAAGGGATCTTTGATAAGGGTTTCTACAAAGATACTATAAGGGTAGTTCCCTAGATTCGGGCCCTGTTAGGGTCCTATTTATAAGCGTCGTATTATTTCGGGGGCTTCAAAAGAGACGCTATTTTAGATAACTACGCAAGTGGATTTTTGAATGCTTGAGCTGGGCGCTGAGCAGCCTGAGCCCAGGACACCTTCAAGAGGTTTGAGGCCAAGTTGATCCCGTTCCTCATGACGCAGGTGGGGCCTGGAAATGCAAGTCTAAACCCTGAACCCTGAACCCTGAACCCTTTTTGAGCCGGGGGCTGCGCTGCACATTGCCCTGGGGTTGAACCCTAAACCCTAAACCCTATAACGCCTAATAAGTCTTGAAATTCCATGAGGTTGGCGTGTCTTGATCGAAAGGCCCATAGTGCCACGACGAAGCCTGAGCCCCGGACATGAACCACACACTGCCTTAAGTAAATCCCTAGATACCCAAACCTAGTGTTCAAACCTGCTGCGGCCGATGCTGCTGCAGAGCTTTACTGCAGCAAAGGAATCTCGAGTCTTCAAGCCGATCATCGGGTGTGTCAGGCATGCACACGCCCGTGCACATGAATGCATGTGTGCGCGAACTTGTGCACGTCTGGACGCTACATTTACGAACAGACACACTGATATACAGCAGCATCAGGCAGTTATCGGTACTTACATAGATGCCAATTTCGTAGATGGTTGGAACATTTATAGATTTCGCAGATGAAAAGCCCAACAAGCAAATGGTAGATGAACAGCCAAGATCAGCCAAGTAAGTCTTCAGTAGAACCATGCATACATGCATGCAAAAACCTCCTTGCATGCGTGTTTGTGTGCGCGCGGTCAGACTGCGATGATTCCACACTCATTCCGTTCCGGATCTATATCCGCGAGAGAAAGACAGTAGTGAGAGGCTCGGGTAGAAGATATAAGAAGATAGTATTCCAGCAGCCGTTCACCAAAGACGGGATGTCAGCGCTTGAAATCCCAGGTGGACCACCACTTCTTGCCCATCAGGAAGGAGCTTTTGAAGAGCATCAAAGGGGACGAAGCTGGGCGAAATCGTTGAGGCGTTGAGGGTTTTAGGGTTAAGTTTAGGGTTTAGGGCAAGTCCTGATGCAAAAGTTTGGGGTTTATTTAGGGTGCCCTACAAAGAGAAACTCAATCTTACAACTTAAATCCCAATTCTTACGCTTTAGTTCCGAGGCCCTAAACCCATCCAGCAGCCTGATCAGGCTGAACGAATGAACCCCATGAAGGGAAGTTGGATGCATACAAGGTGTGTGTGTGTGTGTGTGTGTGCATATGTACCTATCTACACATTTTGTCCTTATGGCTATATCATACCCTCGCTCCATCTCTCTCGCTCTCTGTATATACCTGTATCTATACGGGGTACATACGTATGTACACACATGTACGTGTACATATACGTTTACATATGCATCTACATATTCATATACCTGCAGATACACCGGCACATCGACATATCCACATGCACATACATTTGCTTTGCACATACATATGCACATACGCATGCACATACATATACATACACATACACGCATGCATGCATGCATGCATACATACATTGTTGCATGCACCACATGTTATGTAGATCTTTTTTCGGATTTAGCAGGCTACATTTGTAGGGGTTGTAGTTTCGTTCTGTTTTGCTACCAGGGTATCTGGGCTTCCAGGATTTGAGGTTTCGGGGCCGCGCATCACAGTGTGCAGTTCCAACCAATCCAGGTCAAGTCAACAGATCTAAACTGCAAACCCTGGACAAGGTCTTGGACGTCGGGTGCGGGGATGGAATGCACCTCGGTCCCTTACGAGCATGCTGGCACCATTGCATCAACCACTGCTCCTAAAAGCCCTGCACCCCTGAGCGCTTGAACGCCTTAGGCTAGCGGCTAGGCTATGCCCCTAACGACTATTCCGCGATGCCCTGAACTTACTGCTACACCTGCATGCTGCACCCAAATAACCATAAGTAGTTCTTAGGCTGCCCTCAGCCTCTCTCAGCTCCGAGCCCTGAATGCTTCTAAGGTTCAGGGATCAAGGGGTTTGGGGTTTAGGTCCACAGCACAGCTTGCCGGCATACAACCAAAGCCCGTGCTGACAAAAAAAAGGTCCACAGCACAGTCGGTGCCTCGGTTCCTGGCATAGGCATAGTCCAGGTGTAAAACGCGAACCACTCTCAATTTCCAACCTCGAAGCTTGACTCCAGCCACAAGCTGAATAAATTTCATCCGAAGGTCTCCTTAGACCGAGTGGGTGTGAGAGGCTAGTGTATCTTATGCCGGGATCAGGACCCTTGTAGTCAGGATCCGGCAGTTTCGTCTGAAACTCGCACAGCGGCTTGCGGCAGAGTGGTGAGAGTGAGCAACAGGTATATGATTCGGGATAGTTGACCAAAGCTGCTCGGGGAGTTTCAGAATATTGGGGGGCCCGAATGTAGACCGCTCTGTAGCAGGATTTCCCTGCCAGGTCCTAAAGCAAGGTACTCGCAGTTTGAAGACGCCCCTCTGAAGAAGGTACCTCCCCTACTACGTGGAGTCCTGTCAAAGAGTTCCTCGCGGTGGCGTCCGTCGTGCCTTGATGCTGGATCCGTGGGCGGTTCGGACTGGATTCCTTTAGGCTTACTAAGACAGCTGTTTTCGTAGGGTCAGTCGCAGGCAAGAAGAGGGATGTCAACATTTGGTTTGGGTCTTAAAGCACTGTTGTAAAGGGTTCGGTTTTTTGCGCACAGGGGTGGCTGTGTGGTTGCCTGGATATCGCAGGCTCCATGCCCGGTTAGGCTGGTGAAGGTGATACTGCGGAGAGATCGGGCAATGAAGGAGAAAATGTTTTCTTCCCGTGATGTAGGATGTTTGGTCCGGGTTCATGGCCCTCAAAGCCTCGACTCTGATACTGCGGAGATGTGGAGCGTGCAGACAGCAGGAGCCAAACATCCACCTTCACTCCGCGCTCCGTGCCAATGTGGAGGCAGGTCGTTGGGTTTCCGAAGCCAGGCTCTTTCTGTGATGCCCATAGTTCCAGTATCGTGAAGCTTGGTTTGGGATGTTGAGTTCAGGTGCAGGCTTCATGTGAGGCCCCCAGTTGCAATTTGGGATTGCGGCTGCAAGGCTTCTGTTTGGTGACTGCTCTTCAAGGGAAAGAGAAACACTGCAACTCCGAGACCCTCTCCAAACGAAGCGGCGGGTTTAGGGATTTAGCATCCCGGGTGCCTGGCAGTCGACGAAACTGGCCTGGATGCAAACAAGGTTTTAGCATCCCCATTGCGCTGTTTTGGAGGCGGCAAAGAAGCAAATGCCAAACTTGGAAGTGGAGATGACCTCCGCTTTCTTGGAGGCTGCTTTCTGGGTGTCTAGAGCTAGCGGTGCAGGGATTTAGGGTTAGGGAATTCGCATTTAGGGTAGATGATCCCTGAAAGCCTCTGGGCCTCTAGGCACGAGAGATTCTGCAGTTCTGAAACGTACAACCATGTGCCCCAAGCACGGATATAGCAATTCGCAGCAAGCCGTGCAATATCAAGCATTGCCACATGCTGAAGTTGTAAAGATTGATTGATCAAGCAATCAGGGTAGTAGCTCCGAATCGGTAGAAAGATAGCATAGCCTCGTCATGCGACAGCAGTGTTTTCTAGCGGTAACCAGGTTTTTGCAGTCGAGTTATGTCTCTGTGTGTGTGTGTGTGTGCGCTAGCGTGTGTGTAGCGAGTCTTTTTGTCTTTTTGTCACGACACAGTTCGCAGCCGAATGCAAGAAGCACAGCCTCTTGTGAGAGCCGAGGCAGCAGCAGTCCATACAGGCAATATGGAGCCTGTATTCTGATACCGCTCTAGTATGCCAAGCTGAATATGCCGCTTGAAAGAGGGGTATTCCCAAGATGTAAGAATGTACTGATGCAGCAGTAGACCAGTGTTAAAGTCGTCCAAACATGACAATAAGTTGCCAAATTTGTGCAATACTGCCAAATTGCAGCGGTAAACAAAACGGTGTATGCACAACGGCAAACTGAACACCACAAGCAAAGCAAGGCAAAACGAGCTTCATAGGCGACCTTGACCCCCAACCTTGACTACCTAGACTAATTTACCCCAAAACCCTCCTTAAAAAAAACCCTAAAGCCCTACATGGCCCTACACGGCCCCCCCACACCCTAATTCTAACTTCTGTTGCTGTTGAGCAGGACCTCCCGGCGACGGAGCAGTTTGACAGCATCGTTTTCGGCGGCTTGGCCATGGTGGACTGGGATCTCCATCTGGGTTGAACGTAAGAGCGTGATCCGATATGATACTAGCCAATAGTGCTTTTTACAGTATGTTTGCAGTTTTTAAGTAGTATATATTTTTTCGTGTGTTCCAGTGGTATGTATGTGTATATATATACACATTGTAAGGAGAGATACCCATGCTCTTGGTAACATGCTAGTTCGCTGAGGGTCGACGGTTTCCGTTACACGACAAAGCCTTCGACTCCCTGACCCAAGCTCGAGAGTAAGAATGAGGACAACTGACTGCGTAGTGATTGCCGGGTAGTATCGCGGTAATCGTAGACACAACAGTCAGTAAGGCTAGCAGCAGCAGTAGCAGTCGTCGTCGTCGCCGAAGTAGTGGTAGTGCTAGTGCTAGGCGGGGCGCGGGGCAGGAGCACGAGCAGCACTAGCAGACGCAGCGATGATGCTTCCATGCAGGTTCTTTTAGAGAGCCCGATGCTGCCTCTTGAGCTAAGCAATCTTGACCCTGCACATCGCAAACCATGAGTCTCCCAGACGACGCCACTTCCAAAACAGGTCCCGAAACCCCCAACCTCCGAAGTGCTTCAAACCGATGCCCTGGAAGTAACACCCGCGTGTCACGCCGTCTTTCCCGTGCGGAGGCAACGTCCTTTGTGAGGTGCCGTGCCAGAAGGCAATCGGGAGTCGGAGTGCTGAAGCATGTTGAAGCCAGTTGTGTACCCTAAATAGTAGGATCCTTATTATAAGGACCCCAATATAAGGTACCCCTGTGGCATTTCTTGAGCAGGAGTGAAAGGAGGAAGTAGGAAGTAGTCATAGCCAAGCGACAAGCACCATGTTGTCCATGACGACTTAGCCGCATGACGAGCTCTAAATCTGACTATGGCAGCAATGGTGCCAGGCTCAGCACGGGTTGCACTAGAAGCAATGGCTGTCATGGTCCAAGGGCAATAGAGTCTTTTGGAAGTGGTCAAAGGAGCGGCATTGTCATTCCCAGTTATGCTTCTTTAAACGCAGTTCGGGTCAGCGTGCTTTCTTTGGGTTTCCAGGCCAAGCTAGTTTCGCGAAGTGCGAGCATGAAGTCTTGGGACTGCTCCGCCCAAACTAGGGCAAAGGGGTAGGGTTTTAGGGCGGGGGATGCCTTGAGGCAAGTTCGGTTGGCAGCACTACTTTGTGCGGTTTTGCCCCTTGTTATACGGAGTGTTTGGGCCATAGGATCTGGTACCAACTCGCAACGACCGCCGTCTTGGGAGCCTCGGTCGTGCTGCAAGCAGACATGGCATGAGCAGGACTTCTTCCGTGCCGTCGATGCACACCTCAAGCCCGGTGGGCGCGTCTACTTCTCCGAGCACGTGCTGTCGGACCTCGGTGGGCTTGGGGATGGTAGGATGTGGTGCTGCCTGTGCCGACTTTTGCTGTTATTGGAGCAGAGAGGTTCTAGCTTTGAGGCAGCACTGGTCGCTCTTGGAAAGCTTTTTTGTTTTCGAAATTGAGACTGCTCGCAGGAAGTCTTCAACTGCAGATGCCCGAAAATACCTTCCCGATTAGATGGAATGTCTGATTTTGTGTTCCCAGGTGCAAGCCAGCAGGTAGCGATGGAATTGCTGCATGATCATTCCGAGGGCAGACACGGCTGCTAGGAGTTTCCACTGCTGCGGCTACTCCAGCATGCTGTGAGTCCAGCTTGGCCGCATGGCAGCATGCAGCCCCAAGGTGGCATCGTAAGTTGCCTCTCGTGTCTCGCAGAGTTTTCCATATCCCCAAACCGTAAGCCGTACTTATGACCCAGCCGAGAAGTTCATGCTTCTTGCGAGCTTGAGCAGAAGATCAGATCGCGTTCTCTTGTCACATCTGACGTGTAACAGCAGCTGTAGGAGTAGCAAAAGATAGTAAAAGTCGTGGTAGTGATGGCTAATTACTGCTACTGCTACTGCTTCTGCCGCTGCCGCTGCCCCTGCTACGGCTACTGCTACTGCTGCTACTGCTGCTGCTGCTGCTGCTACTTCCACTGCCACGGCGACCACGGCCACCAGCAGCAATGTGACAGTGAATCTCATGAAGGAAAGCTAGAGTAACTTCATACTGCCATAGCAGCAGATATGAGATGGCTAGTATTCATCTTCACAATCGCGGCAAGGGCAGCCTCGCGACCCTTACCATAAACTTGAAACCACCTTACACCCTAAACCCCCAAAACCCCAAAACCCTAAACCCCTAAACCCTTTTGGACAGCGGACTTAGTAGCTGAAGCCATGCCTGCGTTGTGCGAATGTGTGAGTCGAAACCCTATAGGCACTAAGCTCTGAACACTAGGGGCCCCAAAAGCACATAATCATAAGCATTTTATAGGGATATCCCTACCTTAATGGGCTTCATTGTAAGGGGGTACATATGAAATATCCCTATCCTAATTTTTGCTTATGCGCTTTTTTGGGGCCCTAGAAGACCAGCCTCGAGCTCCCAGGGTTTGCCACTGCAATCGGGACTCTATCGAGCTTCTCTCGGCGCAGCCCTGGGTTGAGGACACCGGGTTGGCGCCCTAAACTTGGAGGGTCGGGGGACTTAGTAAGTAGGTAGTAAGTAGCCTTATAGGTACCCTAAACGGGACCCTAATTGGCATTATGATATGGTACTTATAAGTCCCGAAAATGGCCAGTTACTAAGTCCCCCGACCCTCCAAGTTCTAAAGCCTGAAGCCTCCAAAAGCCTGTCGATGGAAGTGTGGTCGTGAGTTGCTCGGACCAGAACCCCACCCCCCCTGCTTGTCCCAGTTGTGAGTGCTGAAACCGCCCAAGGAGGGATCCTTTTATGTTCATGGTCCCTTACCAAGTATGAAAGCCCCACATTCACCTGCAAGCCCGTAAGAACCGAACCCGGAGCCCAAATGAACCCACGGCTGACGGCTGAAGCACCAAGCAACTTGAATCCTACACCCCGGAACATAAAACTCCCTACGGAACCGTTATAGAGTTCTTAAAGAACCCCTGATAGGAGCCCTTATGGAGCCCTTATAGAAGACCCTGGAGAAGCCCTAAACGGTTGAGCCCCACACCACGTAGCAACCCTGTATAGAGCCTCTGAGCCTGTAAAAACTCCTTATGGGAACCCTTTGCGAGCCGCTAAAGAACCCCTTATAGGAATCCTTATGGACCCCCTACAGACCCCCTTGTATGGGTAGCATGATGGTACCCCTTCCCAACCCTACTTCTGGCTCTCTTTAAAGGGATCTTATTGAGAGGGTCTATATCCCCGAGGGTCCCCCTACTCCTAACTCCCACTGTAGGGTTCGGAGCCCTTGGAGCAGTCCCGAAACAGAAGGAGCTTCGCACCTGGAGCTTCGCCGGCACCTTCCCTGTCTGCCGCTGGGAGCTGGGCATCGCAGTGAAGCGGAGGGGTGGTGCATAGGTTTTAAGGGTTTTGTGTTTTTTGCAGGGTGTTGTAGCTTGTAGCGGTTTCTATACAGGTTTCATTCGAGGTTTCGTCAACTTTCGTTAAATGGGGATTAAAGCGGATTATGTCCGGTTCGTGTAGGGCTTTGTAGGTTTGGTGTCAGGTTTGGGTAGGCTTTGTACGTCTGCCTAGAATGAGGGGTACCTGCTGTTGGGATCCTTATAATCAGGATCTTACTATTTGGGGTACTATATTAGGGTCCCCTATTTTCGGAAACCACCATGTACGGTGGTTCTAGGGGCGGATATAAGGTTTATGTGGGTCACGCGCCTGCTTGTTTTAATCGTCATGCGGCTTGTGTTGGGGCCCCTAGGAGTTTTCCATGATAAACTTAGGGTGTAGAGCGAGTCTAGCCTAGCAGGAGTAAGAAGTTGTTGTATGTATCATTTAGTTAGAACCTAGATTCTAGATCGTGTAGGGTCTTTCGGGGTTTCGGGCTTGGTTTCATGGCATGATTGGAGGCACAAACCTCCATATCTATGGCACAGCCAAAAGCGCGAGCCCTCAGAAGAAAAGGCTTGGGGCTCTAGGTTTTTTCGTTGACATGATGGGAAAGGGGCAAGTAACCTTGCCGTAGGGAAGTTGATGATGACAGCGGCGTAGAGGAATCTGATGCCGATTTTGCTGCCGATGATGATGATGATGGTGGTGACGACGCACTAGCAAGTACAAGGCCATGGCCATGTCCCAATCCATCGTGGCCAACGCCGTGTTTACAACTCTGAGAACAACTTTCCCCGCCATGCTAGCAGCACCATTACTATCATTGCAACGATGAGTACATCGTTCCACAGCCTGTGCACCGGTGACCCCAAAACGCTTCAGCTCAACAGCTCCTCACTCCGAAACCCTGCCCCGCAGACCTTGAGCCCCAAAAAGTGCGGAACGACATGTCTGTATGCTAGGCTGCTAGGCTCCCTATATCTAGCCGTGCCATGCAGCGACTTAGCGTACTGTGACATGCAAGTGAATGCACTACAGCACAATGGCTGCATTGGCTGGCCATCCAGGGCGCTGTGCTTCTATGCTCTTTAAGCTCTTTAGCGCAATGCAGCGCATTCGAAGGTTGTTTTGTTGGTAGTTGATGTGAGCCGTGCTGTTTCACGTGTGTCTGTCTTAGCCGGACTGCGTGCCTGCATTGTGCGACGGCGCGAGTCGACACCCGAAGGCCTAAATCTGGAGTAAACCTTCTAACCCTAACCCCTAAACCCCTAGACCCTAAACCCCTAAACCCTAAACCCCTAAACCCTAAAACCTAAACCCCCAAACCCCTAAGCCCTGACTCTCCAGAGCCCCAAAGTGCCCCAAAGTGCCCCAAAGCCCCGAGGCTTGAACCCCCAAACCCTGGAAGTCTGAAAACCCTGCAACCCCAGTCTACCACCTTCTTCAAGGCTGCTACTACGATTAGCCTGCGGGCTATCATCGATAGTTTTCAAAAGGCAAACTAGTATTGATGGTACGGTACTCATAGTCTCATAATGACGCCAAGAGTAATGGTTCCGAGAATTCTACTTTCTACTCGCTGTGAGCAGTGCAGGTCGTGGCACAGATGTCGAAGTCTCTGGAAGCCACGATGCTTTCAG